GTTAAGCCTAAAATAGTGGGCATTGATTATATATCCAGTCAGCGTAACCTTGAAATAGAAGTTGTAGAGGGTAAATTCGCTTCGTTCACCTTCTAAATATGAACTTTAGATAGTTAAGCATAAAATAGTGGGCATTGATTATATATCCAGTCAGCGTTACCTTCAAATACAGTTTGTAGAGGGTAAATCCGCTTATTTTAACTTCTCTTAATGAAATGTAGATCTTTAAGCATAAAATAGTGGGCATTGATTATATACCCAGTCAGCGTTACCTTGAAATAGAAGTTGTAGAGGGTAAATTCGAATCGTTAAACTTCTCCTAATGAAATGTAGATCTTTAAGCATAAAATAGTGGGCATTGATTATATAACCAGTAAGCTTTATCCCGAAATAGAAGTTGTAGAGGGTAAATCCGCTTCTTTGAACCTCTCTTAATGAAATGTAGATCTTTAAGCATAAAATAGTGGGCATTGATTATATATCCAGTCAGCGTTACCTTGAAATAGAAGTTGTAGAGGGTAAATTCGAATCGTTTAACTTCTCCTAATGAAATGTAGATCTTTAAGCATAAAATAGCGGGCATTGATTATATAACCAGTGAGCTTTATAGTCTTCACCACTTAATCGGCAGATAGGGAAATTGTCATGGTACATCCGTCTGGACGGGTTCTCAATAGGATTTCACGAAGTGAGCTGGCGTTCAATTTCTGTTGAAGTCTAATGTTATTCATATCTCATGCCTTTACTTCTTGTTGAAACTGAAATTAATAACCCTTTCTGTTATTGAATATTAGCCTACTTCAAATGAACTAGCCTAAGTTAAGTAAAAATTTCACATTGTTAATTTTAAGGCTAATAAGGCATTTGCTTTGTTGGATGAGGTAATTTTGAAGTTGTCAACTTATCATTTAATTTATTTATTTGAGTACAGTCCCGCAGAGAATCTACAATATTATCAGATGAATAACGATATTATATAGGCTAAATGTGTATCCAATTCAATATTAATATTGCATCGATTATTTTAAACCTAATGATAAATAAAAACAATAAATAACAAATACATTAACTTTAAATCGTTTAGTCACAGTTTGTGGTTTTAGTTTTTATTTTTTATTAACCGACTTCCCAACTACCAACAAAAGGTCTCAATTTGTTTGTGGCGATGTTTTTTTTTTTCTATGTATGTTCACCAATTTCTCTGTGATTCTTTTACCGATCAGTGTGGTTCCACCACCAAAATAACCAGGAGAGTTTCTATTTGGTACCTTATATATTATGTTTGAGTATAATATTTGTTTCGGTGAAAAATTCTGAAAACCTTAAATATTCAACATTTATTTTGTTTACATTTGTGCAGAGAAGGCAATAAATAATGATGACATTCCGACAGCTGTTAGTTGAAACCATTTAAATGAAGCTAGAGACAATTCTTCATGAAACAGTTGCTTCATATTGATCAATAAACTATTTCTTGCCATGCATTTTGTTTTGGTTACTATAAAAAATGTATTTTAACGTTTGATCTGATTTGTGTATACAGTAATTCTGTTTTTAGTATTGAATATTCTGACTTAAAAAAAACATATATGTTTCAGTAAATAGCTGTTTGATATTGACAAATGAAGGTGTATTGTGATAACCAAAGCATTCGTAAAACAGGTCTGAATATAAATTAAATGCAATTATTCCTTACACGACCTAAGAAGTGTGACATTGCATAATCGTCAATTAATTGTCTTAAAAGTGTTAAATATTTTAATTACTAAACATGCATTTGCAGATGTGGAATGTTTATTGATATTCTCTACCCAGTTACTATATTATCATATCAATACTATTATGCCTGCTTCGGAAAGTCCTAGAGGAAGATGATTTACAATTTCGAAAGGCTATATCTTGATCAAACAAAACCACCTACATGGCTTGCACCACTTTTAGCTGAACCAATCGTTCATACACATATTTCATTTGCAGATGTGGAATGTTTATTAATATTCTCTACCCAGTTACTATAACATATCAATACTATTATGCCTGCTTCGGAAAGTCCTAGAAGAAGATGATTTGCAATTTCGACTAGGCTATATAGTAAACAAAACCCCCTACATGACTTACACTACTTTTAGCTGAACCAATCTTTTATATAATATTTTCCAAAGGTACTATACGTGTTATCGACTAATTTTCCACTTTTGAGAGATTTTTTACTGCTGGTAGCTGAGGAATAACTTTCATATTGTTCCAAAAGGCTTGAGACGTTACTGTATTTCTTTTTATAATGTAGAAGTACACCGATTGCAGGAAACGATGATGTCTGACATTTCAATGTATCAAGAAAAGACAATTAGTTTTTCATTAGGTCTAATGTAATGGACAACTCTCTCTTTCTTAGGGAATATCTAAAAATGTTTATTTTCATACCCATTGATTATGTAACCTGAACAGGTGACTCAAGCAGTTAAAATAATGATTGTTCTGTGGAACTTTTGATTGTTACAAACAGTTTTGCTTATCAAAAAACCTCAAGTAATTAATATATAAAAAATTATACAGTCACTAAAAATTATGAAATAATTTATTTTTGTAAAAAAATACAACCGACTTCAAACGCTCTAAAAAGAATGAAATAATTTCAATAAAGTAAACTTTTGTATTAGGCAAGTTCACGTATCTCAAGTCGGCGCGGCTCAAACTGCAAATATGATTGAAATTAAATATTGTGCGTGTGTGTATTTTGAAAATCAATAAATTGTAGCTGCATAACATAAATATATAAAAAACATACTGAACTGTTTTGTTTATATATTAAAGGAAATATTTTATTGTGTTTTATGTTAACTTCAGAATAAATGCATTATGAAAATAACACACACAAATGTTCTATATGAATAGGAAAATAATTTAGTTTGATATTATGATAGGGAAAAGAAGCTTGTTTGGTATTAAAACATTACTTTTCCATGTTAGAAACATTTAGATGCGTTATAATCTTTTTAAAGATGCTCAATAATACCACTATAATGCCGATCTCTGATTACGGTAATAAAATAACACTTAACGCATAACTATGAAAAAGACATGCAGATTAACAACTTTAGTTATAGATAGTCACCTGCAATATGGACACCCTCCTTCAATTTTGTTTCAAAAATCATCATAGAGCCGCGCCGACTTGAAGTACGTGAGCTTGCCTAATACAAAAGTTTACTTTATTGAAATTATTTCATTCTTTTTAGAGCGTTTGAAGTCGGTTGTATTTTTTTACAAAAATAAATTATTAAATATCACAGTTTTTTGTTGATGTTATTGTTTATATTGATTAAATATCAAAAAAATCGTAGACCTCACAACCCTATAAAATCTTTACATAATGAAAAAGCATAGAAACGATAAATTGAATTAGATAATTATCAATTTAAATCGTTAGTCATCCGATAACATGTCGCAGGTTCTCTGCGGAACTGTACCCGTTTGTTCATGTAAATTTGATAAATCAAGCATAGGCCTAGGTGACCTACCTAACTTACTGTGAGATCGCACATTGTTTTCTGTATCAATCAAATGTGTAATATTTGGTAATTGTAAATAAATAAATAAAATAAAGAGATCCTAGGCCAAGATATACTTGGACAAAAGCAAGTACTATGTATCGATTTATTAAGGATCCGAGTCATAGGCCCTAACTTAGGTAATTCATAAGGATTAAGACTAACTAATTAATGTTTTAGGATTAGTTTCAGGGCATTAGAGACTTGAGGTTCTAATGTCAGTATAGGACTTAGTTAACTCTTAAACACACAACTGTAAGGATCTAAATAAATTATTACAGAGAATTAAGAGATTACCTTACTCACCTTGGATAGGCTGTATTTGGTTGGCAAAAAACAAAAGGTTAGTAATATGTAACAAGTAGATAAACAATGGTAATATCTTCTGGGTTCAATAGTCAATCAATGGCCATATTGTGATTCGAGTGGAGATGACTTTTGTGGGTGACGTTGATCTGTTTGGCCCTGGTCTGGTCCTGGTGTCTGACTGAAGTTAGTTATTATACTGACCGCAGTTCGGAAGGGCGCTAGTGAACGGGTGAACTTCCTGGGCTGGCAGCGATGGCCGGCCATGATGTACTCTTGCAGCGTATTGGTTGTAGATCAGCCAATCGGACACGTTGGGCGGATGGTGGGGCTTCTATTGTTCGGGTGGTTGGCATTTTTTGGTGTCAAATAGCCGAAAGTAAGTTTAAATCGTCTTAAATAGCCGAAAACAACAAGATTCGAGAGTTTAGGACTTATTTCACTTTCGGAGCTGTTGGAATGATTCTTAATTCGATACTTTAACACGTTTGTACTGTTTTTTCGATGGATTAGGATTTTCAAATATATATTTCGGCAGTTTAACACAAACATCTCTTTCGGCAATTTAGAACTTTAAATTCTTATTCCGTCGAACGTGATATTCGGCAAATTGGGACTCAAAACACAATTCGGCACTATAGGATTCGGTGCTATGGCACCTTCTCATCGCAAAGGGTTAAGTGTTTACTTTTTTCTTATGCTTTTAGTACTACACAGAATTGTGATTAATCGTGACGAAGTTACTGCCAGCAATATCATATGGTGATCAGTATTATTATTTCCAAATCTTAGTAAAATTTTCTTGTCTGTGTCTCTTATATGAAATCCTTGATTTATTCAGGTGAAGTCAGGGCCACACGGTGATTTTTTTATCTTAACCTGAGTGATCGACTATTTTTCTCAATCTTAGTGATAAAGAGAATTCACAATACCTATCATGGTATTTGACTTGGGGATTAATTTTAAGTTCAAAATGAGAAGTCTTTCAAAAATATCACTTGAGATCCCCACTTGTCCTGCATTTGTGCTCCATTTTTAAAATTTTTGAACGTATTAAATTTTATCCAATAATTTTTCTTTAAATATCTGTATAAATTTGCCGATCTAAAAAAATTAAATATTAACAGATAAATATAATTTCAGGTGCTAGTTTTGGATGAGCCGACATCAGGAATGGACCCTGAATCCAGAAGAGAAATGTGGGACCTACTTTTGGTAATTACTTAGCTGTTCATAAAGATAAGTTTTTCCCATTTTCATCTACAATTGATGTGGATGTATACACTTTTGATGGGGAAGTTTTTTTTAGTTGCAGAGTAAAAGAGTAAAAAAATGTGTTCATTAAATTACATGCACCAAAAAGAACCAAAGAGTAGATATTCCTTTCCAATATTAATGCTGTAGCCAGAAATAAAAGATAACTAAGTTAAACTATGCCAATGACGAATTTGCCTCTGTACGATACAGACTTCTGTTTTACACATGATTTTTTCCCATGCCTAGCTGAAAGTTTTATGCCTCCTTAAACTATTATAGTTTAAAAAATTATTAGAGTGTGTACTTTGATACTCTATGGCAAGTTAATTCAATTATGGTCTTTAAAAAAAAAATGGTTACAGCAGTTTTATATTGACCGAATGAATATGTACTTTAAGATCCAAAGAAAAAAAACATTTTTATGCTAAAAATTTGTGATTTGTAAAATCCAAAACTGTTAACTGTAAAACTGTTCTGGTTCCGATTCTGATACTAAAATGTTAACATCAGTTCCTGATTTTGGATTTGACTAGAATTTTACTGCAGATTTTTTTGGTGGACTTAAAAGAATTTTCAAAAATAGTTATCTATTTTTTAGTTAGTTCATTTTCCACAATACAATACAATACACAACTACTCAACAAGGCAAAAAAACAACATTCATCTAAATCAAGTGAACTCAAGTTTAGTAAAGGACGGACCAAGGTTTTTATCAAGCTTAATCTACAACTTGATCCCTCTAAATATCAAAAACATTGAAGATCAAGATGAATTCAAGAGGAAATTTAAAGAATATTTATTGAAGAGGCCATATTATTCTAATATCTAAAAGAAAAATAGGCCAAAAAAACTAACGACCACGGTGCAGCTGCGCTACCAGTGGGAGATCACCAAGTATCAAGTAAGTAAGTAAGTATCTTCTATTATTATTGCGCAATCGAGGAAAAAGACTAAAACTTGCGAAAAAAAATTCATAATTTTGTCTCAATCTTAGAAAGTGATCATTATGTCACTGTGATTGCGGGAGATTCTAGAATCGATCCAAAGTCAATAAGTATCAAGAATTGTTGAAACGTCAGAGGTTATAAGGAACTGTGAATCTGCAATCTGTCCCACTAAAAGTTACTGTGTAGTTTTAATAAGTGATTTTCTTTAGAAACTACGAGGGGAACGCACAGTTTTGATCACGACACATTTCATGGAGGAAGCTGACGTGTTGGGGGATAGAATAGCCATTATGGACCACGGCAGAGTGAAATGTTACGGAACCACACTGTTCCTTAAGCGAATTTATGGTGAGTCAAGGAACAAAGACTTAACATCCGTCAAACCATACTTTGTGCAATATCTTCCCAACAAACCAGACATAGGGACCTAAACATCACAACACTACACATGTGTCAGATTTCACCCTTCCAATCCATTGGCAGATCCTACAAGAACACCTTAGCAAAATACCAATTTCAACTTGCTTAAAGAACAAACTTATAAGACCCTTCTACACTGAAATAGCTGCTTTAAATTTGCTTAAATCTTATCTCTCTCACAGAAAACAGTTTGTTGAAATTATCTATCATAACCATAAAAACTATAAAATTCCATATCAATCTTATACCACTGACTTAAAATATGGGGTTCCACAGGGATCCATTCTGGGGCCTCTTTTATTCATTATTTATTTAAGAGATTTTCCGCAACTTAGCAATTTAAGTAAACTCTGCTTGTATGCTGATGATACCAATTTGAAAATCATAGCCTCAACAAATGAAGAATTAGAAAGCAAGGCAAAATCAGACATATGCGTTTTAAATGATTTTTTTTAACTCCCAAAATCTAAATCTCAATGTGGATAAAACAAGTATCATACATTTTCAAACTCGAACTACCAGAAATCAACGTCGACCGATTATTAAATTTAATAATAAAACCATTGAAGTTAAGGATAGTACTAAATTTTTAGGATTAGTAATAGATAAAAGACTCAATTGGAACTGTCATGTTGAAAAAGTACTTTCAAAAGTTTCTTCTGGATTATATGCCTTAACTAGATTAAAATACCCCCGCCGCAGCAAACCTGCAGACTAAGCGAATTTCCATTTGCCTGATTGGATTTAGACTAAAATGTATCCTTAAAAATATCACATTTATTCCCTATTTAAATAGAATCAGTTTAACACATACTTAGGTTTGCTGCAACAGGGAGGGTAAAAGTGTTTTTTTATGTAAAATGTTAATAGTTGGTAAGAAATAAAAACATTTTCCAAATTTGGGCAAAATATGTTAATAAACAAGCACACTACAACGGTTTACTTATCTATATCTATAAAAGAGGAACTATGTATGTATGTATATATATGTGTATATACGTTATGGACTCCGAAACCGCTCGACAGATTGTAATGAAACTTTCAGGCATTATTAAGCATCTTTCAAGGATGGTTCGAGTGAAGTTTGGTGCAGATCTGTCAAAAGGGCTCTGCCCCAGAGGGTTTTAAGTGGGCCAATGTCAGACTTTTTGATCTACAATGTTTACAAAAAAAATATAATTTAAAAGCAGATGTTTACTTTCACCAACTGTTTTGTAGGTTTGAATAATTACAACGTTCTGTATTAGCATTAGTCATGATTTGAAATAGTGCCACAGTGTATCTACAGAGTGCAGCACAGAAAACTATTTTACTTTTGAATAAGTCCAAATGTATTAAACCCCACTCGCAGCACACCTGTGCACTTAACAACGTTTAAATTATTATCCAATTTTAAATATTAAAACATAAAAACCTTTATCAAAGTATTATAACTAATAAAGGGGATGACTTTTTAACATTTATGACAACAGCTAATTTGCAACCAAAAGGTGAGTGAGCGTAGCGAACGAACATCAACCTGGAGGCGAGTTAGCGTAGCGAACGAGCTAACCTAGAAACAAATGAGCGCAGCAAACGAGCTCCAACCTAAAGGTGAGTGAGCGTAGCGAACGAACTTCAACCGGGACGTGATTGAGCCATGCAAATACTTATGAAGTTAAACGGAGCAAAGCCCGTGGGTACAGCTAGTTCTCCATAAGAATAACATGGGAATTTTCAATTAACAATTTTTTGGAATTTTATCCGTAACCATTAGACGCATTCTATAACGCTACAATATACCAAATTATTTGTTTTTTTAAGCTCTACAAAATAGTTTGGAAAGAAATTTCAAAATTTTATGTTTTTTGGGTCAAAAATAGGAAAAATTCATTTTTACCCCATAAAAGCCCCCATAAACCCCTGTTCCCATGGTCCGATCATGCTGGTTCGCGAACTCGTTCGAATAAACGTAGGTTTACACCTTTGTACCAAATTTCATCAAAATCGGATCATTTTTGCTCGAGTTATCGCGCTAACGGACACATATATATATATATATAAATATATATATATAAATATATATATATAAATATATATATATATAAATATATATATATATGAATTTGAACGGATGGTGTTTTTGGCCTCTAGGGACCTCAAAACGAAAAAAAAAATCGGTCCCGGGTCCAGGTCTTACCATGAGTACTACGGTAATAGCTTATTCCCTATATGGGAAATTTGCTAAAACTATTGCGAAATAGAAACTTTGAAGTTGGTTTACTTTTCATACATACATTCAGTGATTTCATTTGGGATTTCCCTTTATGGCTCAACCAATAAGAGAAACTTAAAATCTATATTAAGAATGCAAAAAAAAAGCAATAAGAATAATTTACAACCTTCCACCTAGAACTTCTGTTAAGAGAATGTTTAAAATAGAAAATATAATGACAGTTTTCGGTATGTATGTTTTTGAAACAGTGGTATCCGTTAAAAACAGATTTCATGAAATAGAGCTGGTTGGAAAGAAACATGATTATCTTACAAGAAATCGAGGCAAGTTAGCATTAAGTCCTCATAAATTGCGCCTTTTCGAAAAAAAACCCAAATACGCCGGAACAAAATTCTATAATAAACTTCCAAAGGACATACAAGCAGAAGTAAATATTAAAAAATTTAAAAATAAACTTAAGAAATTTCTCATTATCAGGGCTATTTATTCATTTGATGAACTTTAATTGACTTTTCTTTCCCTACTAATCAAAGTATGTTTTAACTGTTAGTTTTATGTTCTTTTACAATTTTTCCCATTTACTATAAGCATGTATGTTTTATTATAACTTATAAGAAATGTGACACTATTCATGTATATATTTCTAATGTACTTGATGAATAAAGATAATTTGAATTTGAATTTTGAATTTGAAATATAGTTGACCCAAACATGATTTGCAGTTTCAATTATAACTGTAACTAACATATCAGTTAACGTAACACATTTGCAACGACCAGAGCATTAATCATTAGCCTAGCTAAGGTAGCCACTCTATGGATTAATACCGTAATTACAAACTTTTATTGAAAAAAGTCATAAATTTTCTTAAATTTATCTATTTTAACGCTATGTGTTGTTGTTAACACAGTGTATCTAATTAAAAGAAATAAAATGAAAAAAAAGACTTATTAATACCTAGTTGAAATGTTGTATCTTTACCTTAATAAATTTGCATTTCCCAAACACTGAGTTTTTGGTACTTAACTGAATTTAACTAAATTTAGAATGATTCAAAAGATAACCTTTCCACTGGATTTAGAGAATGAGTTAGATTATGTAATTAGTGGGTGATTATTGGGGTTATTTAGTGGTTGAATTAAAATTCTATTAATTATTTATAAATTAAAAGTTTGTGTTAAATTTCTAACTTTATATTAATTATTTTAGGTACTGGATACCACCTTACTGTGATGAAATCGCCGCAAAGCCCAGTAGATCCAATAACTCAAACAATCAAGTCCAAGGTCGTGATTGCTGAGGTGAAAAACATCCACCCGACACAGGTTGGTGAAGTGATAAATTTAACCTTACAGCCTACGTGTGTTGGTGGAGATGAACTTTTACATGTAAACGGTCGTTACACAGAAATGTCTATAGAAAATATTTAAATGTGTTTCCACTTTGAGTTTTAAAGGAAATATGAGTGGCTAATAAAGTTGCTGAGCTACATTTTGGAAAATGATTAATTGCAGTTATCTTCCCTGAGAAATTTTGAGCTTATAGTGTTAAGTCAAGTAACCTTAATTGATAGAAAGTAAAATATCTAAAACACAACTCTCACATTTTGTCTATTACTTCTTCAGAGAATAAAATGAATGATCCTGAATTGGAAGAATCCCGGATTCTCTTCACTTTGGAAGTTTTGAACAAAAATCTGCATTATGTTTTGTGAATTTTTGTTGTGTGTATCTATGAATTTATAGATTAGCTAGCTAAACTTGATAGCTTTTTTAATAACTTCTTTTTAATGAGTGCATTTTGACGCTTAAAAATCTATTCATGTGCCTAAATACATTGTTGGTACATAGATGATCAATCTTTTGTAGATTCTGTATTTTTTTGTTCCTTTTTTGTCAGTGCTCATTTTAGTGGCCAGAGCCATTTAGTATTAATTTATCATTTATCTAACATGCTTTTTCTTTTCAGATAACATGTTTAAAACCCTTACCTCATCTTTTTGTCAACTTGACTGGGATTTGGAATTCTTAGAGGCTGTTGCAACACTCTCTGTATTTTATGCTAATTCAGATAATATTTTACTATTTTGCAATTGGTTTACAGGTGACGTATTCGGTGCCTCAAGAGTATGCCTCAAATTTGCCAGGAATGTTCGCCGCTCTTGAAGCTCGGAAAGTGGAAATGGGAATTGATGGGATGGGAATTTCGTGTACAACTATGGAAGAGGTGTTCCTCAAGTAAGTACACCATGGGAGGATGTAATTACAATTGGCTCCTAGTTTTAAACTCTACACAATTAAAAGACTTTTTTGTTGAAAAAATTGTTATTGGTCATGTTGTTGTATATTTAAAAGCTAATGGAATGATTTTTAAGAGATTATTGTGTACTCCTGTAGTGGTTAGTTCAAAGCTTCGCGAGGTTATGTGATGTGTAATATGATCTTGTCTATGTACAAGGATAGTAGAATTTAAAAGTAAATAAACTAGCCAATGACAGGAAATGTAAAAGTTGGAAACAAACGTGTAAAGCAGTCAAATTCTAAACATGAAAAAGTTATATTATAATATCCAAATACTTGAGATTCATACCCTGCAGAATGATGATCTAAGCTTAAAGCTTTGGGTTCCTACCAGTGAACTTATGTATCATGTAAAATCCAGTTTTCTAAAAAATGATCCCGTTTTTGTTACCTACCAATAAACTTCTTTTATATAGTATTCTCTTGTACATCTTGTTTATAGTGTTCCTTTAACATTTGTGTTCACAATACATTATTTACCAGGGTGGGACAACTGGCTCGAGAAGAGAAGATGGATTTTGATAAATCAAGTAGAAACTCAAAGGAAAACACAATGGTTCGAAACAACAGCCAAGAAGGTAATTAATTTTAGATAAATTTTGAAATAAAGTCACAATTAAGATTTCTGAAATCAATTTACTACCTTAGTTTTAATTCCACAGATCTTTACTAATCGCATTTAGTAAACAAAAAAACAAATCACACATGTGTGTTACATTTATATTCTAAATCCTATTAATTCTTTTGTATAGTAAGTAATTACAGACTTAAAAAATGAAATAGCTTGCAGGAATACTGCAGATTAAAAATTAAACTCTTGTATTGAATTTCACCTTCACTCCAAACGTCTTTGAAGAAATCACCCAAGCCCGCTAATCACTTCCATTTAAATCAAAATATTAATTTAATTTATTTATGCAATACAATTACAGTTAATATTTATAACTATTTTCTTGTTCATAGCTCTGGAATACAAGAGGCTACGAGGTGTTCCTTTATTCTGTCAACAGTTCAAGAGTTTGTTCCACAAGAGAATGTTGTTTACCACCCGAAGACCAGTGACGTCTATTGTATTTGTAAGTAGAATGAAGTAAATGAAAATCAGTCTAATAAAGACGGCAATATTAACTAAGAGTGCTAAACAAGAGCTGGTAAAAAACTTTCTCAACTTTTCTATTAACAAAATTTCCAAGTTCTATTTTCACAAATCTAGAATCAAAGGTTTCTGATCCACTCTTGATTAGCATTAGTTTGTTATAATCCTACTAAAGCCATTTCAAGAGCTACCAGTTCAAGAGCAGACCAAACTAAAACAGTCTGATAGAAATTAATTTTAGAAGCAAACTACAGTGGAAATTTGGCCAACCAGTGGAAGTTAATCAGGAATATTTTTTTTACAAAATCCAATTAATAAATACAAAACTGTTGTTTACATCCTTGACCCCGGTTAATTGAAGTGAGAAGGACTCTTGTTGAAGAGAAGTAAAAGATTAAGGTAGAGGTTATAAAACAAATTTTGCTTTGCTACACCTCTATTAAAAAATCCATTTTTCAGCCACTTATAAATTCAGTTTACATTATTTTTAAATGTGTAACCCATCATATATTTTTGTTAAAGTTCCTGCTGCCGTTGTTGATGACCTGGATGACAGTGAAGAACGGACTGATGGACGTAATGCAGTCCAACAGGGACCCTCCGTTGACTATGAACTTGGGAACTTACGGACGGACAGACTCGTACGTTAGTGGACCCTACCAATACCAGGACGTTTACAAGATGTTGGTCAAAGGACAGGAGGGAACTGCTATGTCTGTGGAGGATGATATGATTGGTGGTAAGTGACATACAGAAAGACTATGGTAATAGTTAAACTAGGGTAGGATAGATATAGCTAGGCGCTATTTAACGTAGGCCTAGTAAGATAAATAATACTATTAGTGATGTTTTAGGTAATAGATTACTGGGAATGCCCTATTATTCTCTTTGTAATGCTATCTGATCTGTTTGAACTATATTAGTTTTTTTTATTATATTGAACCCTATTTATATTATAGGAGAAGCAAAATCGTAAATATTCTGAAAAGGAAAAAAATTGGTGGGGTCAGGAATTTAGTGGGTTGCAACACATTGGCAACTAAGTCATATTCAGATTGTAACATGAACATGATCTAACCAAAATAGGAGAAAATTTGATTAAATGAGTTGCTGTTTTTGGAATAGCATATAAAAATCTTCTCGAGACAAAACAGTCTAGTTAAAATTACACTTATTCTTTTGTTTGTAGCTCTGCTGCAACAAGGTGAGAAGAATGTGGCCAGATACAAGACCAAGGTGATTGTCGCAGCAGATTTCAACACGAGTGCCAACACGGCAACCGCGTTGTACAACGGTATTGCTTTCCACTCATCACCCATCGCTGTCAATCTGATATCCAATACGTTGCTGCGGGCCAGCAGTAACACGGCTAACAACACTATCACCACCACCAATCATCCACTGGACATCAAGAACTTTGTGGTAAGTTACACCTCACATCGTAGGACGTAGGGTCTAGCCCGGAACCATTACTTAGCCTAGGCAATAGAGGGTTGCTGCATCATCAAGTAGATAAAATCCATTGGTAATTGGCGGAATTTGAAACTGGGACCTTGAGGACCAAAGTACCAAGCTTTACCACTAGACTAGCTCGCTCCCCAGATAAGTCACACCATTGGAAAAAGAAGTCCAACAATTTTTCACTACACACAAAAAAATTGATTATTTCACTCTCCCTAACATACTTTTTAGTTTATTCTAACCAAGGAAGATTTAAGTTGGAAAATAAGATGTCTTGAGGTCCAAAGTTTATTCCAACTTGCATCCAAGGAAGATTAAGTTTGAAAGAAAAATGTCCTCCTGTTGAAAATATAGTATTGAGGTGTAGAAGGACTCTTGTTGAAGAGAAGTTAACAGATTAAGGTAGAGGTTATAATTTTAAACAAAATTTATATAGAAATTGATAAAGTAGGGATTTTTCTCTACTGTTTTTTTCATCCCTGTTTTTAAGGTAAAATTTGAATGATTTTAAAATTTTTCCACTAAGGGAATTTCACGATTATGGAAAATGTCTGCAAGTTTCAATTTTCAAAAATCTACAATTTTACTGTCTCAAATAAATATTGTTAAGATCTCAGGAAAATATTGTGAGATAGAACAATGATTCTGTGTTACTATTAGTATAGAATGTTGAGCCATCTAGAATTGCAATTGGGCCATCCTTAATAATACACATCAATTTTAAAAATGTACCTCTTGTCAAAATATTCACGCTCAAACGTCCCCATGTAACAGGGCGCGTGCAGTCAACTCAACGACATATCGCTGTGGATGTCAGCATTCATGTGGCTCATTCTGGTACCGATGGGCATCAAGGGGTTCGTGATGGACTTCATCCACTTCCCTCACTTTGAGAGGGTCAACAATGCCAAGCAGTTGCAGCTGATGACAGGAGTGATGCCGGTTACTTACTGGGCAGCGTGTTTCTCCTGGGACTACATCATCTACTGTCTGTCCGGCTGTACCATGTTCTTCATCATCTGGGCGATGGACTCGGCCGAGCTGTTCACCGAGGCTAGAGATTACGGTAAGGAAATTATGACAATATAGAATATGATAATGTTATTTGTGAGATTATTGTGGATACCATAGGTAAAATTAAACATATATTGTAGTTGTAATACAAGATTGGTAAATTAATGTAGGCATGTAAAAATTTCTTGAGGTAAAGGTACTTTTAATCTGGACAATTGCATATACAATAGTTCTGGAAGTTGTTGACATGTTTCTCCTTGCAGGTGTGTTTTCCCTGATCTTGTTGACTTATGGAGTTAGTGCAACGATGTGTGCTTACGTTTACAGCTTCATCGGCAAATCAGCCACAACTGCTGCGTCTGTATTCACCCTGCTCACACTATTCACAGGTTTGTTACAATTTTAATTAATATTCAATTTAAAATAGAATAAAACAATTTGTCGTAGGTAGATGTATATACTTTGGTCAGTAGTCCTATTTTGCACTTTTGGTAACAGGTGTTTTTTATGTAATAAAACAAGAAGGAATCATCTAGTGTAGGAATGGTTCACTTGAAGAAATGAGTTTATCACACCGAAAGCATATTTTTGACCCTCACTAATTTTCTAAAGTTGAACTATAGCTTGTTTTGAAAAGAGTCACTCCAGACCCCAGAAAAGATTCCTCATCATTCTGGCTTTAGTTACTGATAATACAAAACATAAGAACAGCCTTTCATACCCTAGAATGTTAGGTAAAATTATATAACCAGCACCATCAAATGTTTAACAAGTTCAAATTATAAAAGCAAAATTATTCATCTTTATTTGTGTAATAAATTCTGTTGTTATGAGTGTTATGAAATTTTAAATTAGCTGTAATAGTAATTGCCAAAGAGAAAATTGTATAATATTTAGATAGCAGATTAGTGCTGTGAAAGTGTCCAAATGTATATCGTATCGTTTGTTATTTGTCGGCAGGTATGATTGCTCCAATGGTGATGCACTTTATGCTGCGACTGTCGGATAGTGAAGGCACTTTTGTGTCGTCTGCTTTAATCGTGCCTTTGGACTACTTGTTGAGTCTCGACCCAACGTACGCCTTCGGCAGCGCCATCATGAACTTTGCCTACATCTTGTCTGAGGACAGCGCCTGTAGCCAGTGCGACAACAAGGAACTCAAGGCCGCCATGTGCACTGGTAAGGATTATTAAAAAAAGATTTGTTGAAATTATTTGTGAATTGTTAGAATGTGATTTATGATATTGTAGTAAGTAGGTTATAGCTAATAGATAATGTAGTTATTTAGTCGATAAGTGATGTTTTAAAATGTCCAGTTTGTTTTCGAATGAGTAGCAACTAGTGATGTTAATATTTTAGAACTCAATAACATTTCTTCTTGAGGTTCAGACTATAGTTTTTAAAAGCTTCCAGTGTCTTGGCTTCTATCACGGCCCAATCACTGAACGGAACGGACCCTAAAGTTTCGGCCATGGCAGCTGTGAAGGCGTTGAGCTCTTGTACACCGTATCAGAGACAGGTTCTGATGCTGTACAAGAAGTGTCAAATCGGTGAGGTTGTGTGTGGTTTAGTGAGTTGCTGACGAGTTGAGGGGTGGTGGATTTTCTCATTTGTTCGCTGGAAAGAAATGTTCAAAAGCTGTGTTATAGGGAAGCTGAAAAGGTCAAGTAGTAAGGATTGCTATGTGTGCAGAGAGTATGGTGATATTCACAAACTGAAGGATACATACATGTAAAAAAGTTATCCTTTACCTGTGCTTGTTGAGTGTGTACTTGTTGGGTGAAAATCAATTGAGGACGCAGAAGAGAAAATTGCACTTTTTTACTCCCAACTGCCATTCATTATAGAAACGTTACTCAACCTAACCACTTATAAAAAAAATCCCTTTAGAGTAAATGTAAATAGTGAAAATGTAAAGTGATTTTTACTCATTTCCGCGATGGAACCAATCAATGTTTACTTCCAAAAGATTAACATTGAAACTTTGAAGGTCCATGGGATGCTGAAGGGGATTTAAACAGAAACTACCTCCACTTTATGATATCACATGACAACATTCACATCTTTCTAAATTCACTGATACATTTTTGAATGTCAATAGTCAAACATTTATTAACAGTTTTGAATAGCGAGGTTGGATTTAGTAGTGGCTTACGATTTGCTTTGTGAAGGAAGATGTTTTGGCTTCTAGTTAAAATTTAGGAGTATTTCTACTATTGCAATTTCCTGTTTGTGGTGCAGAAGTCTACTAAAGTTTAATCTCTTATGCTTATTGCTTATTATTTCTTTTGTAAATACTTTTATACATCTGCTTTTTATTAGGTTCTTTTAAAATTATGTTAAGTTTTTTTCACTTTCTTCTCTTATGAACACATGATGAAATATTTCCTTTTTTAAGTACAAACACTCTTATTTTTTAGGTTCTGAGATATTTTATGAAGTTTGTCTAGACTGTTCCGTGATCCTAATTTTTTCAGGTTGGTTAACGCAATTCTTACCTTTCCAGGAATAACAACTTGTTAACTTAACAAATTTTGTTTTCTAGAAAAATCGTACCTGTCATTTCCTACTAATGAGAATCCCAACGGTCTACTGCAGTACGTCATCTTCCTCGCTTTTGATTGGATGCTCTACATGGGTATCCTCCTGCTCATAGAATACGGCTACATGAGCCGTGCTTTTCACTGGCTAAAGGTATGTTTGAGACGATGTTAGTTTTTAATTTTGTATTATTGTTTTTTTTTTTTTTTTTATTTTGTGTAAGGGAACGGTTCAGGCCCTGATCTTGTTACTATCTAACATCGACCTTTTGTTAGCTAACAACATTAATTGATAGCTCAATGACAAATGCCACCGAAATCCAGTTAAGATCAAACCAGCGACCTTCAGATTGAAGGTAAACTCTATAACCACTCGCCTACCCAGACTATTAAATTAAAAATTAATTTATTTCACACAAGCTGGGTGGTTGAGTAGTTGTAGTACTTTGATCCGTAGGTTGGCGGTTCGATCCCAAGAGAAGTCAAAAGTTTTTTGATGGTACGAACTTCGGCCCTGCTACCTTTTTAAGGCTTTAATGGTTGAAAAATGGCGAAGAACGCTGTAATATGATTCAATACTCATCTGCACCCTGATTTGTCAGCATTGTACAAGTCCAACCTAATCTAATTAGGCTACAATGCTAGCATTAGCTGGCTATAGCATTAATATGGGGATGTTTACTTCTATGAAATAGTCAAATACACTACTATACAAGAGTGTATTACCATAGATAAAACATACTCCCTTTGTAGATTTCTCATCCTTATGGAACAGCTGAAGCTAATTTTATTGTTAGTTCTGTACCTCACACTGTAGAGGTCGTGTTTTGATTACAATTTGTTTCTTGTTATTTCAGTAATTTAAACCCTCGTTTAACCAAATAAAACAATCTGATCATAAAAATTAACTCCTCTCCTAGTTATACAACCAAACAGTAAATCACAAATCATGAAAATAACCCTAAAATAATAGAAAGAAAATTTTGTCTACACTAGCGATCAGTATCAACATACATGAACTAGACACGAAAAACGAGCTTCAAAATTTACAATGGTATGATGAGTCTACTTATGTTGGTTAGTCTAATGGTGTTAGCAAAGGTATTGTGTTGGTTACAAATTCCATTACATTTTCAGGTCCAATGGGTCGGCAAAGATTTTGACAAACTGCTTTCGGAAGATTCGGATGTGAGAGACGAAAGAGACAGGGTCGATGCTGTTAGAATCAAAAATGGTAAGTTAAGAAGTTTTAAAGTTATGTACAGTATATGGTTTATATTTGGTTTCAGCTTTTTTTACGTATGTGTTATTTTCACCTGTGAATGCAAAGAGTAATGGAGTCAGGTTGTATTCTGTTTCTGTATTGGTACCTAAGGTTGTACAATCTTCTTAAAAAAAAAAAAACAATCTTTTATTTATTCATTTTCACTTTTTAAAATCACGTTTGTTGATTTCTTTTAGAATTGTCTTAAATACCTAGGGATTTTGTATAATTTGAATCAAGCATCACGTTGTTAATAACAACTTCCAAAAATGAAGATAGACAGTTATTTATACCTCAACAATCTTCACATTCACAGTAATTTGTTTTCATTGTATAAATTCATCACTATTCTAGGTGTGTGTGTGTAACCACTTTTTTAGTTTTTAGATTTTTCGACTTTGTGCTCGATCTCTCGAGCTTTTAGGCCAGGCTTGGCTTGGCTTGAAAATTGAGCCTCTCACAGACCTCTTTTTTTTACTTTCACAAGTAAATAATTCAACTAGCCATACCTTAAAATTGAGTTTATCACCTTACTTTGTACAATTTATATTTTATGGCATGGAAAATTACACTTCTCGCAGCCGTTTTCAAGTTGTGTGCAAGTTTTAATTATTTGGTTAAATTTTGTTTGCAGCCTGCACTAAAAGTAGTGTACAGTTACCTCTTCTTCCCGATGCAGGTACTTTGAATTACAGTTTAAATCATTTGATTATTTTAATCCTGAATGTCTTCGAATGGCTTATTAAAAACAGCTTTATTCAGTAATTTGATTACCTTCATTCATATTTTCTTTAGAACACCTTTCACATGTTCATGTTAGTTGCTTACGGTTGTAGTAAAGTTGAACTTGCTGACTAAAGCAGATAGAGCACACTTCACTTAGTGATTTGAAAACCCAAAATGCGTTTTGTCTTTTCTTTTTCCATTATCCTTTTGCAACATTATGTGAAATTCGCTCCACATGTGAAATGGAGTCATGTGCTGAGACTCAAATAAAATCTTTGTTAATATTTTTTATCGCCAAGTAAATTATGTTGTAGATAAAAAAAAATTTGTCAAAGTTTAAATCATTGACAATTTTATAAAATAACTTAAAATTCTGTTGGTTTAATCAGTTTTGATATAGAGTGATAGAGTGCCGAAGGACCGTACGTGATATTTTACCAAAATTCCTCTATTTGTATAGCTTACACTGTCCATGCACCATGGTATAGTTTATTTAATTTTCTCTTACTTTTGTTCAACCTATTATCTGCAAGCTTGAATGTCCACTTGTGTTTTGTAGATGTAAAAATGAACGTAATTTCAACTTCACATGATGTGCCAGATTTTGCATATATGAAGGAAAAACTCAGTAAAAAACTGGGTATAAACAGATCAGTTGAGGAACAAAGAAATAACAAAGAGAAAGTCAAAAAAGGAGGAGGTAAACATAAATGTTGATAAACGGGGGAAAGTATGTGGGTTTGTAACATCAATGTGTGGGTATTTCTTGGCACTGTCACCTGTTTTTACATGTATCTCCAAGAGGAGAAAGAATTCTTTTAGTCAATATTTTCGAGTTCACATTTTGGATAAAAACATCCATTTAAGTCCTGAACCCAAAATGGTTTTTGAGTGATGTTTGTGTGTGTATGTGTGTGTGTGTTTGTAAGGCTTAGGTAACAGGAAATGTTATAAGCTTACACAACACAAAACAAGAAAGTTCGGTTTAGGCCATGTTTGATTTTCGGGAAATTGTCAACATTAAGACAATATTTCAATACTTTTCAACCAAAATTACTATTTTTGGGCGAACCTACCTGTTTGCAAAAATCGAAGATATACAAACTTTACACACTTAGTTCCAGCGATCGCCACCACCAAACAGTTTTAAACAGTTGTGGAATGAGTGACTGAAGCAGTTTAAGTTTTAAAAACTCCATTTCTTTGTTAACTAAGAAATTAAAATGGTCAGTACATTATTAATTGCTATCTTGATGAACAATTAGATGAATAATGGCTTGAGTTCTTCCTTTATGTCATGTGTTAAACGTAGTCATTCGTTACTCAATTATAAAGACAAGGTTATAATTTATAAACAAAATTGTTCAATGTTTTTCATCAAATCAAAATAAAGAAACAAACACTGAGGAACTAAAAAGTAGCACTGAGAATCTTACAAAACACGTTTACAGTTCTGTTGGGTCCAAATTTGTAAATCTTTTGTGCACTAAAGTAAGTCCTAAACTGTTTTTGTTGACAGTAGGCCTATATGCATTAACTACTTGTGTTTGTTTTTATAACATTCATCATTGTTTTCTTGTGTGTGTTTTACTAACAATCATCATTTTAGTGTAAGTTTTATACAATCTTTGACTGTGGGTAGAACTATGCTGTACGTTCTATTCCTGGGTTTTAGTCAGTTTTAGTTAGAATAAAAATTTATTTAGTTTAATTAAACCTGTGAAAGAGTGTGCTGTGGGTGGTTACTGGGTTTTGTTGTATAAACCAACTGTTAATACCACTTACTATTTTTACGACTCAAATCTACTTATTATTAAATTGAGAAAAAGAGAAAATATTTTTTTGACAGGAGCTCACTCTGAGGAGGCTCATTCCATTCAACTAGGGTCTATTTGAATGGAACATTTGCTACAGATGGTTCATATAGTTGGTATGTTCCCAAGTCAACGGTAAAAAAGCTAAACAGTGTGTATAGAACTGAAATTGTAAAAAATTGTGTTTTGAGTTTTATATTTTTGTATGTATTGTTGGGGATAATTTTTAACGTTTTATTGTAAAATCAGGATTTAAACAAAAGTGTGCAATAAATATTTTTGGCTGTTAATATTACCAACCCTCATAGCAAACTGCATGGTTTGCACTCTTACATTTTTAATTTACATGTTAAGAGAATTTATTTTATGGTGGATTTCAGTCTTAAAAAGTCATTCTAATCGTGGTCTTTAGTTGAAGATTGTGTCAAAAACGACAAAACACTTTCATTCACCGATGTTTGCCCAAAAGCAGAGTGCCATCCTCAGAGCGACTGGACTTCTGCTCAGATGATGTAGAAAGTGTTTTGGCGTTTTTGACTCGGTCGTCGCCCGAAGACCACCATTCTACATTAAGCGAATATTGAAGTTATTCAGGAAAATTTACTATTGTTGAAAGCTTTGTTTTTATCATTACTAGTTGCTCTGATGATTATAAGATCATGGTAGTCATGTTCCATCTCTGACCAATAAAACAGGAGTTTTTCAACTGTATACTTTATTGGTTTTGGCATGTTGAAATGAAATGTACTATGCATATTTCTGCACGTTAGGCATTCGAGAATGGTATGGGTGATGGTTTCACTTTTAGATACAAGTTTAGGATTTAGTAATTAATTTTATAAGAATTAATATGTTTTTAATAACCAATCCATTCACCGTATCATAAATTTGGATATTAAACACAATTACACTTTAACAATGAATTTAACCCAGCTAAACCTTATCACTTGCAAATAATAAATTAGTTATTACTAGATTCAGCACTCTGCCTAGAATCTTGAACACCTGTACTTATTTCACACTTATTTTATTTTGAAAAATCAATCAAATCGCAAATTACCCTTTTCTTAAATCTTTTCCCTTACCACAAAGAAAAGAAAATATTCTGAATTCTTTTACAAATTTTGATTAAGTGTTTTGATTTGATATTATCTTTTTAAACCAAATAACAAAAAACTTAAAAATTTATAAGAAAATTTTAAATTAATAGGCCTAGTTCATTTTTAAACTGTCTACTGGAACACGTTTCCAATCTTATGTAAACGCCAGAAAGAAAGTATCGTAATCACTGGAAACCATTTCAGTGTCCATATTTTTATGTTAACTTTGTTAAAACATGTTTTTACTTTTAAGTGATACAATGGTGAAACTTAATGTGTATTTTTTACATGTAACCGAACAATTTGTGTTTTTTAAGTGACTATCCAAAAAATTCTTAAAATAACTTAGTTTAACCTTGTTATCTTTTCAATTTATTTTTTGGAACATTTCTAACAAACTTGATAAAATCTTATATTAAATCTTTAATAATTTCAATTTTTTTCAGATGACAGCGTCATGCTGGTTGTAGATGGTTTGGCCAAGAAGTTCAGCCGATCGTTCGCTGCCGTGCAGGGAGTCAGTTTCCGAGTATCCGCAGGAGAGTGTTTCGGTCTGTTAGGAGTTAACGGAGCTGGTAAAACCACCACTTTCCGTATGCTAACAGGAGATGAGAATCCGACAGCCGGCAACGCAAGGATACAGCATTATGACCTTGTCAGGAATAGAAGCAAAGTACGATAAACCTTTTCTTTTCAAGAATTTCTATTTCTCGATTACTTTTAATTATTACTGGTAACCGGTGTGGAACCTTTGATAACTGAAGAAGACATTCCATCACCAAAAAGCTGTAGCTGGTTATAGAATGAAAGTTAATGTTGATTGGTCAAAAGAGTGTGCTGATGCCAATATTTATTTTCTTTAGATTACAACAATTTAACACTTTTGCTACTGATCGCAACATAAATGCGATGCTGCGGTCATTGCCACGGACTGACTTGCACATTTTAATATTACACATAGACCGGGTGTCACTTGGTTAACAGTTCACGCAGACCTCGGGCCAGTGATGCACTAAAAAAAAAAAACAGTTAGTCATATTACATGCCTAATCATCATATCCACAGACCAAGTGATGCACATATGTGATGACATCCCTGTAGACCACTGGAGAGAATGCTGGGCCTTCAAATAGACTGTTACTAAGATATAATCTTTTAATAACATTGGGACACTGACGCAAATATGTGACGTCATTCTGGGTAGAAACCGACTGTCGCTGAGCGTCGCTGATCCATATGAATGAAAAATTAAGTACTATTGCGGTAGTAAAACGTGTTAACCAAATAGGATTGAAAGGCAACTTATTGTAAAATATATATCTTAGTATCAATAACTAAGGGGGGAAAATTTTATTTTCACATGAGCATACAACATAAGAGAACGTGTACTTCAGTATCCAAATGGCAGCGGTTAAACCTTGTAGTTATTAGATCAGTTGTAATAACCTAAAAAGTCTGTAAGCTTTTCCAAAAATTAGACCCATGATTCTCTATTTAATTTAGTTTCTGTACTATATCCAGTTTTAAATGTAGAGGTAAACCGATTTTAAATACAACTAAAATTTTCCTTACTTTTGTTTCCCCTCTTCAGATATGTCCAGGTTCGGTCCTGAGTAAAGTCTTGATGGTTTAAAACTGGAGTCAGCTGTCAATAGACATTTTACTTTTAATAAATAGTCCTGGTTTAAGACAGCTGTTAGTAACAAAGCTACACAAGAAATCTCACTTCATTCTGCACTCGTACTTGGGTTTAAGTAAGCCCAGTATTACTGAGATCTAGTAGCTTAACTAGGATCTTAACTTGTAATGATAATAACGTTTACTCAATACATTAATGGCTAATGACGCGTTCTATTTTTTACAGTACCTGTCGCAAATTGGCTACTGTCCGCAGTATGATGGAATCAACACATTCCTAACAGGCGAGGAAATGTTACGATTATTTGCAAACTTACGAGGCATCCCTGAGGCTCAGATTCAACCTCAGATTAACGACTGGATCTCACTACTCGGTAAGTATTACAACTTTAATTGTAGACTGTTCTCGATCATTCATTGAGGTTGACAAAAAAGTCAGAAAAAGCGAGTAGGTCCAAAAAAACAGAAAATAATAAACCCATGTAATAAAACCACCACTATTGTAATCTTTTATTTTTTGTTATGTTTTATTGTTTTATTTATTGTAATGTTTTTAAACCACCTATGGTTTACAGAGCTTCCTTGCCGATTTCATACCCCTATTTTGTTCAGGCACAAAATGTCTTTTCAGTCATTTCTTAATAAACATTATGTCAGCATTTGTGTCTAATCTTTGGGTGATATGGTTTGAAACAACTCAAACCATTACTAATGAACTGTGATATAATACTTGACATGATGGCAGGCCTAGATGAATACCGTCACCGACGTAGCAAGAACTACAGCGGAGGAAACAAGCGTAAGCTGAGCACAGCTATGGCTCTGATCGGAGACCCTCCCGTAGTGTTTCTGGACGAGCCGACCACAGGGGTCGACCCAGTGGCAAGACGCAACCTGTGGGACGTTCTGGGACGTTGTCAGAAGAGTGGTCAGGCCATCATTCTGACCAGTCACAGGTACGAATACCGCAGAAGTGCAGTTAGTGGTGACACGTTGTGTAAGAACAGTTGTGAGTGGGTTTCGGTCTAGAGAGAACCTATAGGCAATAGATCATTCAACTCGCTATTGGTTTTTAACCCATTGGGGAAGGGATTAATGCGCTGCCTGCAGTGCGATTAATTTTACCGAATTTGTAGACTTTTACTCTAATTGTTATAGAAAGAAAACCTTAGGTAATAAATTATTACTTCTTTTCTTTTGCTATTTTGTTCACAGTAAAATTGTCTACAAAAAAAGGGTAATTAGATAGTCAAAGTGTAAAATAAAAAAAAATAAAAATTATAAAGATTATAAACAATTTGTAAAATAAAAAATAAAATTTTCCAACTAACTTATTTTTTAAAAGTAAACTTGATTTAAAAATTCTAGGATCAATCCAGACACCAAATGACACTACTCTTATAAAGTTCAATTAATTCCTTGTGTGGAAAAATTACAAGTTGTTTACTTTTATAAGTAAGTAATAACTTAGAAAAAAATTTTGTTTTACCTTACCGCAGCTGATTTTGGGGGATATCTGGTTTCCATGGAAACACAACCTTGGTTGTTATTCGCAAACATAAATGAGTAATTATGCAAAACAAGAAGCAAGATATTTATAAACATCATAAAAGTAAGAAGAAACAAAGGGAAGAAAATAATAATAATTAAATAACTAGTGGTGCTGCGTAGCGGTGATACGAGCGGCACTCGTAAGTCAGCCGCCGTATGAGTAACGCTCGTAAGTTGGCACCAATGGGTTAAGTAATTAGTTCGTCTTGGGCAAAGAACCAGCTAATAGTACAAAGTAAAAGGTCACAAAACATGACATAGATAGGACTATATTTTCCTAATATAGGACTTCTTCAGAGTCAAGGTATCCTAGGTTCACACTCAGGTCTAGGTCCTAGGTCCTAGGTCTGAGGTTTTCACTCAGATGATGTCCAGTACTAGAGGATATTTTGTTGCCATTAAGTTGTGTGTCTATTAGACGCTAGACCCCATTTTGCTCAGGCAAGCTAACTGAAGCTTCCTTTTCAGAATTATTCCTAAACACTTAGTATTCCTTTAAAATATGGCCTGATTCCATGTCAATTTTTTTTATGACATTGTGCCAAACGTTTATGAAATTTTTGCAGTTTTTTTTTTTATTTTATTTTTTTATGTAAGTTAATTAAATCTATTCCTTCTTTCTCAATTTGAGTAAAATAAAACTAACAACTATCCTCTCTTGACAGCATGGAGGAGTGTGAAGCACTCTGCACTAGGCTGACTATCATGGTGCGAGGTCGGATGAAGTGCATTGGCAGTAACCAGTACTTGAAGCAGCGCTACGGCCAAGGTTATACAATCATGATCAAGCTGCACACACTACCTGCGCAGGACAATCTGCTGCAGCATCTCAAGATGAGTGTGGAGAGGGCGTTCACGTTCAATTGTACACTCAAGGATGAACACAAGGTGAGAATACTTTTTTTGTCCCACCTTCACAGCCTGAGAACCGTTTTACACATTATGAGGCAAAGCCTAGAGTTTCGCAGTATTATCACTTAGATTATAAAATACATCTGTGGTTGGCGGGATTCAAACTTGAGACTTTGGGGACCAAAGTCCCACGCTCTACTACTAGACCAGCATACTCCCTAGGCTTAGGTCTAAATGTACCGTCCTATAAACCGTCATTACTGAAGTTTGTTTTGTTTCAGAGTTTACTACACTACCAGATGACAGACACAAACATGCCTCTGTCTCAGATATTCAGTGAGATGGAAGAACTAAAGAAGGTACATTCCATTGTGGAAGATTACACGGTGGGTGACACGACGTTGGAACAGGTGTTCATCTCATTCGCTCGGCAGGGTGACAGTTAGTCTGCACCAACTTGCACAAATACCCGTCAACTCGCTTCAGTTCGTCTGAGAATGGCTGTGATAGGAGCCTTGGTGAGGCTTCCTAGGATAGTTTCAGGATGAGATTATTTCTTTTCACTCAGATTTTCTGCTAAAGTTCGTTATTCTTTCAAAGCCAATATCTTAAGAAACTTCAGTCGTATCGAGCAGTTAATTACAAGCAAATAACAGCTGCTTGTGTGGAGGAGTTTTGTTGGAGAAATGTTTTACAATATTTGTTTGTAGTTTCTAAAAGATACAGAATTTGTTGACAATGATTTTAGAGGCATAGGATAGTGTTCGGCTGAGACAATTTCTATTAATTCAGACAATTTTCTACAAGTTTTTTTTCCATAAAGCAGTTTTGTTGTTAACAGTTTGTTTTTAAAAAACTTATAGTTTCTTAGTGTTACAGAACTGATTGAAAATGTTGGTAAAGGTTAAAGTAAAATGTTTAAGACTTGTAAAAAAGTGGACCATAAAATGATATAACATCACATTCTACGGGTGTTACCTGCGTGTTTACATAGCACTTCTTGTTTTTGAGTTTGTATGTTTAACCGTGTTAAACTTTAATGTAAAATTGCTAAAGATGTATTAAAGAAAATATTTTCTTATGCCAGTTATTTTTGTGGTCGTTAAAGTACTTAAAGGTTTAAGAGAGTCTGATATTGATAATCTAGAGATTGTAGAAGTTTGGAATAGTCAAATACATGGTTGTGTCCTTTTGCACTCCTGGATTATAAACTGAATATATATATACGATAGAAGGAAATATTTATAAAAATCCCTTCTTATAAAGTTGGGATTATCCACTACATAAAACATAACTTTTTTTGTAAGAGTTTTGTATAAGATTGAAGAAGTTTAAAATAGGCACAATAATGTTTTGTGTCCTGTTGCACGACTGGAATATAAACTTAAAGTTATGAATAATAGAAGGAATGAAGGAAGTATTGATGAAAATCACCTCTTATAAAATTTGAGGAAAGTTGGACCTAACTTGGTTTTTTTCAAGAGTTAAGTTTAAAATTCATGGTTGAAAATATTCAGCAAAGTTAAGTTGTCACACAGTTGCAACCTAAGTTAAAAATGATTTTATAAAGATGTATTTTATTCGTACTATCTACTCAGTAATTTAACCATCTCGTAGGTTAGTTTCAGGCTTTATTTGTTTCATGCCGTGACTACCTATATTTGTGGCAGCTGTTTTTTTTTTTTTTTTTTTTAATTACTGAGAGATTGGGTTGTATATAAATAAATTCATGGTATTTATTAGAAGATGTATAATTGTATAAATACAGAACAATTAAGTTCTTAATTAGCTTTGCCAAAGAGAATCTTTATGTTAATTCATTGATGCATTAGGGTAGAAATACACATACAGCGACTGGGAGCGGAGCGGAGCGGGGCGATCTAGAGCGACAAAATCAAACCTATACAATCAAGTAGTAATGAGCACACAAACCGCTGTTGCGAGCGTAGCGGTTAACTTTGGTACAATCTCGTTTGTATTTCTAGCATTTAGGAGCGGAGCGGGCAACGATCTTGTGGACATTTTTTGTTCCACTTACGCCAATTGGCTGATCTGTACGCCCATTCTACAGGAAACGGAAACTACCCAGAGCGTTTTGAAACCTTCTTGAACCTTCGAAACTTTTTTTTTTAAGAATGTATTCAAAGGTCGAGGTACACATGTATTGCATAAATCAGGAACTCAAAACAAATGTACCTTCCTTTCTCCATTCACTCCATGCAACTACTATCAGTTTGAAGCATGCAAAATTAATGTTTTTAGCCAAGTGTTTTGCTGTGCTGCAAATTGCGTGCAAACTTACTATGTGATATCTTGGAAATGATTGAGCTCTCGTTCGTGTTGCTCTCAATAGTCGCTGCATGTCGCACCGCTACAGCTCGCTCTAAATCACGCCACGCCCGCTCCTCTCCCAATCCCCGTATGTGTGTTCCTACCCTAAGACAGCTAAATGTTTCTTAAGTGTTGGTAAGTGTATTGTTGTGTTGTTCTTATTCAGACCTAAAATAAAACCACACAATCATCATTTTACACAAATGTTACTGCTACTTAACTATTTTATTACTTTAGTTTTTACTACAAATAATTCAATGAAAGTGCCTTCTAATTTTTGTTGGGTACTCCATGATATACACACACAATATGATAACACACACTAAGAGTTTAAAGATCTGCATAATATCTCATTTATTTGAACTAGCTTTAATTTTTTAATGGTTTAGACATACTACGGCAAAGTATTATTTTACTTTTATTTATTGTTAAATAAATATTAATATATAACCTTTAATCTTTGGTTAACTTATCCTTAAAATATAAAATACATTGTTAGAAAACGAGAGATCCCCTTATACTACTTGGATATGTGATAATTAAATCTCATTAGGGAGCAAATATTTTTCCCTTAATTGGGAATGTTATTTTTATCGTTAAAAATACTTCCTTCTGTATTTTGTTTATTCCTATACTAAACCTAAAAAATAATAAATAAAATGCTGTGTTATGGGTTTCTAGTCTACAACTACACCAGACTGAAGTATTATTTGAAGATTTTTCAATATTATTTTCTATATAAAAAACAAAAACAATAAAAACATGTACGGTATTTTGGTTTTAAGTCTTAAAATGTGTTATGAATATTCCCCCATGAATATATGGGTTTTTATAAAAGGGTTTAAGGATAAGTTAAATTAATTGTTATAAAATAGAGAAACTTGTTTTATGGGAGTAGTTAAACTGTTTTTATCTTGTATGTACGTTTTTGCTATATTTGTGTCAGTGTGTTTAATAATTAATTGCTAATACATCCACTATTATAAACTTTATGTTGTAACACTATAAAATAAACATCGTCATTTATTTTCTATCAGAGTATTTGACTATAACAGTTTCCAATACAGGGTGAGGCAGTGAAACGGCACAATTTTGAAAAATCACAAATAATTCATTTAGGAAAAAATGTTAGTTGTTTTAACATAAATCTTAAGTTCATGAGTGGAAATTAATTTTTCACCTTAAAAATAATAACTTATTTAATACATTGTCAATAAAATGGTGTACTTGGTTTTGCACACATTTAACATCGATTCATGTTGAATTATGAATTGAAATCAGCCCATGACTTTTTTTAGCGTTTTCATAACATCTGCAATCTTTTTATAATACTTGTTCGTGCTAGCAGTGGCTTCTAAGCTATTCGCCCAAAGGAGGATAGCTTTCCTTAATGGCACGGTAGCCCGTGGCGATAGAACAGAAAGTGCGCTGAGCACAAACCATAATATCCTTGTTGTTTTGTAGTATGCCTTTACAGCAAACGCGTGTTGGGCACTCATCCTATGCTCCATGTCTAGTGAAATTTCCACTTGTCTAGACACCTATGGTCATTTGTCCCGTACTTTAATAGCCCCCAGGCTTGTTTGTCAGCTGGTATCGTAATCGTGCCGTTTCACTGCCTCACAATGTAAAAGTTATTTTAGGTTATCAAACTGCTTTACTTTCCTTAGTTCCCTTTTCCAACTTTTCTTGTTTCAAGGTATCAAGAAAATAAATTGATTCAAGTAATCGATTTATATAAATAATCACTTAATTCATATTGGTATCAGTTTTGAGGGGTGTATAATGTTTTTATTTTTTAAGGCATAGGAGATAGTTGGAAGTTTTCAATAGATAAGTTACTCCCCATCAAAATTTAAAAAATAATAAAATAGGGATGGACAAAACTGGATTTTAGGTTATAGATGAGATTGAGACAAGATTCTTTTTTCTCATCATAATTCGAGACAAGATTATAGATCTCAGTACTAGCGCAAATTATTCATTTGCGCAGTTTCACAATTGGTAAATAACAATCTATTAAAACAACTAAAGTACAATAACTAATTATTTATTACAAAGGTAGATACAAAAAGAGTGTTCAAAATAGCAAAAGCTTGAATATTGATGAAAATCTTGAATAAGAAAAAATAAAACAGCTTTAATGTAATGTAACACACATTAACATGTGTGTTAATGTGTTTAACTGTAACATGCGTACCAAAACTTACTGTATCACAACAAAAACCGTTGAGACAAAAGAAAGTATTATATCTGGTATAGACAGGACCAGGGTTGTAACAGATAAACAAATTACCGGATTAACCGATTTTTGAGTGTAGATGGTTAAGAAAGTTTCTGCAATACCTGCAATACAGGAGTGTGTTAATGTTACGTTTCCTTTTCAAAGACGTTCTAACTTTTTTCATAATCTCGTCTTTGAGCAAAGTCAATCTCGCTCAAACTAATAAGAATTTTATATTTTTGCAAATTTCTCAAAAATTTTAGATTTATTGGTATTAAAAGTGTTCAAATTCAACTAAATTAACTCCTTTTAACTCTATCCTTTTAATATTATTATTTTGCTTAAACAAAATGGTGCTACCCCAATGCTGTAAAAATGATGGTTCAAAAGTTATAGCTCATAGCAAATTTTGTGATTTTACCCATGAAATAAATACCTTAGTTACTCCCACTGGTGAGGTGGGAAGTTTTGAACAGAGAGTTGAGTTAAAGCTGCTAGGCCCGCCAAAACCCGATTTAGTTATTTACACAATGTCAAAAATCCTGTAAAGTAGGAAAGGATTTATGTTTGTAATGTTCAATAATGCCCAAACAGGCATTATCTTCTAAGTGCTTAAATGTCACCGACATCTACCCACCATTTGTAAATTTGCGTCCTTTGCTCAGTTCCCGCTGTTTTGTGCACATGGTAAAAGTATCCTGTTTTGAGGAGATTTGTAAGTAGGGATAAGTTCTGTCCAAAGAACTTATAATTTAAATTACCGTAATGGTAATGTTTTTATTTTCGAACACCCTAATCAATTAAGTTAAATATAATAAACCCAATTAAAATACCAATTTATGTTTTAAAAATTATTATGTCTAGATTGTATAAAAACGCTAGTTTACTCTTACTTACTTACTTACTTACTCCCAGGGCCATTTATATCGGAGGTGATATATATAAAAACGCTAGTTTACAGTTATTAATTTTCAAAATTTTTCCCGGACCTACCTGGGCCTACCCGCCTACGTGGGCGTGGGCGGTATTCTACCCTCGGTACTGGAGGGCGGCTTGGGCCATTCCTGCACCAGGGTGCTCCATACCTGGCTACGCCACTGGTTTGTAGCGCCAATTTATGAGGGGAAAGTTGTTTAGAATCAGGGTAATAGATGGACTGTAACAGTGACTATCGCTTACATGATTCTGGATTAAGGACCAGTTGATCATAGTAACAAGGCTACACAGATCATTCACTCCATTATACACTCACCTTGCTTTCACCACGTTCAGGTTAAAATACAAAGCATCACTGTCTTGCTGAAGTCGTAAGTGAGCTCAAGAATAAGCCCAAGTTCAAGTTGTCGGACATGTAGAGACAAATTTCATATATTACCAAACTATCCATTTAGCAGCCAAGGTATTCTTTTTCCAAAGAGTTAAATTGTACCTGATTCAAGGTTAAAACTTTTTTAAACAATTCTCAGACAAATGCTATGTATGTCATTAAATAACCATTCTTATAGTTGACTGAGAGTTAAAAATCAGTTAGATAAAACTAGCAAATCATGCCCCACTTTTTAAAGTCATTCTTGTTTATTTAAAAATATAATTGATCCGATGAATAACAAATTAAAAAAGGTTTGTAAAGTAATATTTGTGGAACATTACCCGAATCCTCTTAAACTTAACTTGAACTAGCGGAAAAGGAATTAAAATTTACAGAAGGTCTACAAAAATTATATTTTATTATAAAACAATTCATAGCATTTATAAGTGTAGTTTGGTTATACAGAGGATTACATAAAGCTACCTTTCATTAAAAAAATATATTGTGCACAATTATAACACACGAAAACAGTCAAAATAACAGTGAAACTATACTTATTTCTGCATCAAAGAGTTGTTTAAAATATTGCTAATAAAATAATATCTACATGAAACAATAACTTATTGCTTTGCAGTTTTTAGGTATTAATAAATTATGATGCTAAACACAAATCAATCCAATTTGATTTAAATAACGAGAAATCTTTAATTTGTTATGGACAGAATTAAGATTGAATAAAAAAAAACTTTATATGAAAGAACAAAAAAAAAAAAGAAAAAAGGTGGGTGTGTTGTTAGCGTATCGGACTACAATGCAGGTGGGACGGGTTAAATTCCCGGCACATGAACAGGCCTTGAATGGGTTTGGACCGCCTTCCCAAGCGTAATTAATTAACTTGACTTAATTAATTAATTATATTATGATTATGCTTTCATGAAAAACCAATGGATATTTTTTTACTGTTGTGGCTTTTGATTCATACTGTGATTTTTCCAGGTTTCCCCAACTACTTATCAACGTAAATTATCAGAAAAGGGTTTTCTTACAGAATTGTTCGATAAAAGCTGTTAAACCAAAAGCTTAATACTTTCTGTTAACACAATGCTGCAAATGTAGAAGAATACATAATAAGAGTAAAAGGCAATTTTAAGACAATAAGCTTGAGGAAATAAATAAGAGATATCAATAACTATGAAAAAGAATAAAACGCTATATTTCTACAAGTTAACTTTTACAAGTGAACACATCATAGGTTTAAGGCACTGACAAATTGCTAAAATTTCTTTAAATATATCAAAGAATAAAAATACAACACTTAGTTAAATTACCTCAGGGCCTTATAAAGCATCCTTTCTCTTTACCTCAAATTATTCGTAAAACTTTGTTGCAAATCCATACAAAAGGTATGTCACTGAAATGTGCATTCAATTTGTTAAGCAAAACGTAAGATATTTTACTAAATTAAGTTTGGAGGGCTAGCTTTGGAAAGGAGTATATTTTCACCAAAAAATTCTAAAAATAGACAAATAATATCAAGATATAAACTCAAAAAGTCTAAATATTTCAAATTGAAACTTTAAAAGTTAAATTTGTTATCTCACAAAGCTGTGATTGAACTTACTTACATTAAAGCAATTTATTGTTTTTTTGGGTTCTGTAAAATAACATAACAAACTATACTAATATTTAACAAAGATTTAACAAATAATAATTAAAGCCTTTTAACATTAACATTTTGTGTAAGACACTAATATCATACAAATATAATTCGAAAAATAAAGGTTTATAGACGTAAAATTGATAAAACATGTAACAATTCAACTAGAATAAAAACAATGGATTTAAGAAAATATTTTAAATTTATATGATGGCTTTATGTTGAAAGACATTTTTATATTTTATGCCATAAATAGCTAAATTCTATTAAAACTCTGGTAATCTTACACTTTAAATATTGTTAAAGACAAACTTACTATACACTAAATGACATGGCACAACAAGAACACATGGATTAAGAAACGGTTTGGTGGATACAAGTTCGTTAATATACATAATTTTCTATTACAACTAACAAATTTATATATACTTAAAAGAACTATTATTGTTGACTTTTCACAAATTTATTTAATTTAATGTCACGTTTTAAATAAAAAAAAATATTATTTAAGTTAAAAAAAAATTCATACTACTTTAAAACTGATTAATCCACCAAACAAAACCATACTTATAACAGTCATAACCTATCTAAGTAAAAAACAAGGCATAGTAAGCCGCAGTCATTAACAGAAAACAGCCCAGCCAGAAAGCGAGGAAGAGTCGAATCACACGTTTGATCTTGTCTTTTGGTTTCATCGGTCTTAAATCAACTTCTACCGGAAACTCTTCCAGACTTCCTGTATGAGGAGGAAATCGGTAAACTCGGACGTTCGACTGAGCCAGCCTTTGCCCAGGGTCCTAAGATCAAATTTAGATTTGAGTATAAATAAATGTAAAAAATATTATTGCAATACTGTGGTAAAAACAGCTGTTTTAATACATTCATTGTGGGCAGCGAGCTAGTGTAGTGGTTAGAGCGCGGGACTTCGGTTTCTTAGGTCCCGGGTTCAAATCACCAATGGATTTTATCAAAGTGATAATATCTCAACCCCAAGGTCTAGCCTGAAGTAATGTGGAAAAGAAAAACAATTCCGAGCTCGTGCCTAGAAAAAAAAAAAAAAAATACATTCATTGTACTGTATCCTTTGGGCAAAAAGAACTAACTGGAGTTGAGGATATCAATCACACATTTTATATCTGTCTTAAAGAAAATAGTTCCTATTCACCCATTTAAATTTCCTGATAGACACTGAAATGTAACACACACATCAGCAATCACACAAAATACACAAGGCCTAGGACACACCAGCCGAGAGAACGCCTTAAGGTAAAGATTTGTCAAACCTTGTTTTTCAAGGGATCTGATTTGTAGGAGAAAGCAGTCTACCTACAACCGCCTCCGTGTCATGATAGCGCTATCGTGTTGTTTCAAGTTTAAATGTCTTGTGTGTATGTACCGTACTGATTTTGATGTTTTTGACGTGTTGCAAGCTCTGTTGATGTTGCATTGCATCAAAACATGTCAGCTTCAAATAATTGAAGTTAGACACAATTTTGGACTAATGATGGAGGTAAGCCTAAAAAGTCATATATACGTAGTCCAGGGGCTATCAAAATGAAAATTCGGAATTTTGTGCCAGAGTGGACTCTGCTATACAGGTATGCCTGCTATCCTAACAAAATAACTTAAAAACACTAAATATTTCAAACCAATATTGTTAATTCATAACAATGTACTAAGGTTACTAAGTTGTACTTTCTGTAAAAGGTTTCCATTGAGCTCCCATCACAGACAAGCTGGCTAGTTCAAATCTGAATCTAATCCTAGATTGTAGCCAGTTCCCATCCCTATAAGATGATTAGTCTTGTCATATTATTCAAACAAATTGTGGAAGAAAATTTATACTCCTACCAAGAATAAATTTTGCTCTGTGATTATTTCTCTGTTGGGAGGGGTTGATTACTGATGCTGTTGTCAGATGTGTATAGAACAGTGTTTAGAAGAAGAACATATGCACAAGTGGCTTAGGGAGTTCAGTAGCCACTCACATTTGCACAACGGGTGTTCATCAGTTCCCATCGAGACAGTGAGTTTTAGACTGGGGGAAGGGCTGACGGTGGACCTTGATGTTCTTATAGCGACGTCCCCTATTAGTTATAAAATCTCTCTTGTTTACTTTCACGGTCATCTGAGTGCAAAATTCCCTCAATTTCAGTAACTGCTTCAAACGAGACAATTAATGGCAGCATTCAGCTTACACCACGGAAAAAATTGTGCAAATGTTTAAGACCACTTCCGAACTCCCTCCACCCATTGCGCACCTTTTTTACACCCAAACATTTTACTATTTATGTTCATCCTCTGGCAATGGACTTCAGGGTTGATGACTGAGACCACAGAAATATAATCACAGAATGTGATTCATGCTAGGCAGGGGTGGCAAGTTTTTGTTATCATGTTTACAAATACTATGACGAGACTCCTACTATAGGGGTGGAAACTGGTGGATGAAGTAGTGATGAAGGAACATGCCGTTAATCTGACATTGAACTAGCTATCTTGGCTACGACTGGACAACTCTCATACAATGTAAATGTGTGTATTGATCATGTCCAGGTGATATTTACCTTTCGCCCCTTCGGCCCCCAGCTAACCCTGACCCTGGGGCGAGGCTCCGGTCAGTTCTGCAGAGATTGCTCCAGTGTTTGCAGCTTTTCCACGACCTGCAACAACCAGAGGAATATTCATCAGTATGAAGATGTCAACCAGAAGAGAATTGGTTGGCTAAACCCAGCAATGTCTCCTCCACATCCACATCCACAGACTTGTATTCAGGCTGCTTACTTGAACAATATTCCTAGTTTACCCTATATCTGTGGCCCACCATCACCCTCCTACCCTCATTCAGCACTGAACCACTACGATCATAATTCTTTGTCCATCCTCTTTTCCTTTTTAGCGAATTTCCCATATAGGGAATAAGCTATTACCGTAGTACTCATGGTAAGACCTGGACCCGGAACCGATTTTTTTTTTCGTTTTGAGGTCCCTAGAGGCCAAAAACACCATCCGTTCAAATTCATATATATATATATATTTATATATATATATATATATATATTTATATATATATGTGTCCGTTAGCGCGATAACTCGAGCAAAAATGATCCGATTTTGATGAAATTTGGTACAAACGTGTAAACCTACGTTTGTTCGAACGAGTTCGCGAACCAGCATGATCGGACCATGGGAACAGGGGTTTATGGGGGCTTTTATGGGGTAAAAATGGGTTTTCCCTATTTTTGACCCAAAAAACATAAAATTTTGAAATTTCTTTCCAAACTATTTTGTAGAGCTTAAAAAAACAAATAATTTAGTATATTGAAGCGTTATAATGCGCCTAATGGTTACGGAGAAAATTCCAAAAAAATTGTTAATTTAAAATTCCCATGTTATTCTTATGGAGAATAAGTAAACCGTTGTAGTGTGCTTGTTTATTAACATATTTTGCCCAAATTTGGAAAATGTTTTTATTTCTTACCAACTATTAACATTTTAGGCCAACATAAAAAAAAATTTTACCCTCCCTGTTGCAGCAAACCTAAGTATGTGTTAAACTGATTCTATTTAAATAGGGAATAAATGTGATATTTTTAAGGAGACATTTTAGTCTAAATCCAATCAGGCAAATGGAAATTCGCTTAGTCTGCAGGTTTGCTGCGGCGGGGGTATTTTAGTTTAATCACTTCTTTTGATTTTCAAGGCTCAGAAAGGAAGCGCCACTGACCACAAAGATTATGACAGAATGAGTGGCCAAAGATGTGAGAATACCTGGAAAAGATGTTGACATGGAGGACAGAGGAGTCTGGAGGAAGATTTTGAGAGGGAAAAATCAACTCGGATTTAAGTGACCACTCGAGTAAATAACAAGATTTGTCTTCATATTTAAACTAAGGCCAATATAATAAAATCTCATGTTATTTATTTGTGTACCTGTGTAATGTAATTTGTTTTTTTAGGGACTGAAAAATAACTAAACTAGGGACTTGAAAGAGCACCTAACAAGATACTCGTTTTTCTGTATCACTTAATTGGTAAGCATTTTTTCAGTTTTTTAGCTATCAAAATATTAAATTTCACAAGGCCCGTATTCTTTTGTGTCTGTGTGGTTAGTGTTGTTTGTGTTGTGAGGGTGCTGTCAACCGTCATAAAAACCATTATTTTTGTTTGTTTTCCTCCCTCCAAACTTATTGAATAATTATATAAAACAAATATTTGGAGGCAACTTTTTAAAAATTAGCCTAAGCCTTTACCTCCAGCACGCAGCCCATGCTCCACGCCTGCGTAGGACAGCTACCCTTGCAGAAAGCTCCGTCACTATTGGTCAGTTCAGGCAGTCCTCGCCAGGTTGAGCTATGTATGTGACTGTAGTGACGAGACAGCAATGTGTGAGTATGTGAAACAGTCCTAGCCAGCAGCCCAGCGCCACCTTGGGCCTCAGCAAAGTGGAGACGTGCGCGCAGGAAAAACCCGACGGGCCATACCCACTCCTGAAACAAGAGGCGGCCAGTTACTGTGGCGTTCTGTGTTTGTGAGTATGGTCAAATAATCATACTAATACCATAGGAGTTTTTGTTAGAATAGCCGGCTTACCTGAATGGAAACAGTAAATTATGGCACAAGAAACACAAAGAGCTTTACATTATACACAAAAATTAAATATTAAAAATTAAATACTATTTATTAAAGTTAATTAATAATTAAAATTAAAAATTAAATTACAACAGTACATTACCATAATGTATTGAGAGATAGAAAGTATATTGAAAGTTTCGGCCCAATATACACTCTTGCAAACTAATTCAACACTTTGGCTATAAGAGTCTAATTCAGCATTCAAAAGTAAATAATACAAAGTATATTACCTAATCTTCCTGGATAGGCATCCACAGTCACTCATGGTAGATTCCTAGTCTTTGGGCAATGGCCGTGTCAAACTCGACAAAACACTTTTATTCACGTCTCATTTATAACAAGTGCCATCCTCAGGCCCTGATAAACACGTCAGTGCTACACAGGGGACGTACAAACACCATCCCTCCCAAATATAACCGGCAAACTCCACTTGATTTGTCATTTATGCAGAAGTCCCTGAGGATGGTACTCTGTATAGAGGTCGAAACATCAGTTAATAAATGTGTATTGTCAAATTAGACACAGTCATCGCCCCAAAGACCACTTAATACATCACAATGTTTGTTCCAGATAGTCTATCTACAATGTTTATTTGTGGTACTGACCGGCCCCTGGTGGTAGTTGAAGCCGTGTGCCACGGTAGCGTCGCTGCTTTGGTTGTCGTTGTCATAGTCGCCTCTGTATGCCCAGTCACTTGGGTCCAGAGTCTTCATGCCCAGAGGTCCCAGCAGGTGTTCCTCAGCTGTTTTAAGCGCTTGCCAGGCATTGGCTGGGGTGAACATCTCTGGCGCCTGTCAGGGAAACAAAATATTTGTCATAGCAACCCAGGAGACAAGTAGCTCTTCTTACCTCTGCTAATTCATAATCAGACAGAATTCAAAAGCTACCAAATTTATATTTCCATCGATAAAATATTTATTTATTTTTTTAAATATTATTTTTTTAACTAGTGTTGTACCTATTTCAACATTTTTAACTGAACTCACCACCACCATAGCTACAGGGAAGTTAGGCCTCAACTGGTAGTCAGTCCACGGTTGTGTGGCTCCGTAACAATCTTTGTATATTCCCCGTTGGTTGATCAGGTCGGGGCGTTCCTCGCCCTGAACGGGGGCGGAGTTTATCCAGAAGTGAGCTTCAAAGTTGTGTGCGATCCTAGCTTCCCACTCCTCATACCTCCACGTAGTCTGACTTCCTGCGGTAAGAATGGAGTGTTAGTTGGGTAATCTGTTTATAACTTTTAACTTAAACATTCTTGCTGGAAACACACTCACAGTTTCTCAGTTTTGTAGACTGAGAAATAAAAAAAGGTTAATGTACCTAGTTTTTTTTCAGCCCTATTAAAGTAGTTAGTAATTTTGCGTCATATAACCCGTTATCAAATCCAACAATCCAACATTATATTGAATATAGTCTACAATATATAACAATGACAGTCATCTTTCTCGTCTAATACACAATGACTCATAACTTCTAAAATAAAACAAAAGAAACATCTCTCCGTCAAAAAGCTAAGTCATTGAAGTTCAGCTTCACTCGTACAGACCAAACCAAGAGGCAATCGATAATTAAGCTATATTCATCATCTAAAACCAAGTACATCAGCAATATGACTGCTTGTCATTCCATATTGCTGATGATTAATTTAGAATGACAAAGATCAATTATCAAATTAATTTTCAATCGTACCTTTCCTGTTGGTTAGTAGGCAATCATTGATTATATGATTTTTAGTCTAAAACTACACAACCCAGCTACATGGTCAATTACCTGTCATTCCCCATTATTGATGATTGATTTAGAATTACAAAAATTAATCAAGAAAATTATCTTCATTCTTACCGTCCTTGTTGGTCCTAGTGACGCCGCTGTACGGGAAGTTGCCCAATCTGTTCTGCTGAGCCAGGAATCTCACCGCAGCCTTGCACAGGCCTACCAACTCGACAGCCGAGCCATCCCGAGGAGTTGCGGGTTTCCCTCGGTTGCCAGCAGTGTCGCTAGACCCCATCTTGTCCATCCATGTTCCGCAATTCCACTCGTTCCCGCCAAACACAAATCCTGTGATTTTAACAGTTTGATGATTACATGGAATCATTTTTTGTTTAAAAATAAATTGGAATAAACATTTAGTTAGTAATTATATTTTAAGCACAAGTCTATAATAAGAGTTGGCGGCATCTAAGTACCTAGTTTTGGTCACAGGTCTATGCATGGAATTTATTAAATAAAGTAAGTAAATAAAGTAAGCTGGTACAGTAGAAGAATGAACTGTACTGATATTAATGGTATCAAGAAGTGAACCCTCGACATCAATACCTTAGATTTGTAGTCCGTTTCAGTTACTGGCTGAGCCACAGATTCACCAACATAATACTTGTAAACATTTGGTGCTACTTAAATATTAACTGTGCTGTATTCATTTGTTCACTTTATATTCAGCTTAAATTCTTGCCTGTTTTAGGATGAACACCGATCTGAACATTGAACCCCTGGTGAGTCATATGAGCATCAATTTTTGTCCCTGCGTTGCGTTCTCTGTAGCAAAGACCTTGGAAGTGAACTTGCATCGCTTCTTGAATCACATCATGCAACGGTTGGTCCTAAAAGTACAACCAAGTCTATAAAATCATCAAGTGTTTTGCGGAATGGAGGGCAACAGTATTACCTTAAAAAAATTAGTAGAACTGATAAAAAAATTTTTGAGTTATGATTTCACCAAATCTCAAGGAAAGATTTAAATTTGACATATGTTTGGCTGGATTTGAGAATAAAATATTTTTGTTAGTTTCTTCGGGGCAGAAAATGTCATGCAATTGAAATAAGGATGTTCAATTAAAAAATTAAACACTGTAGACATTTATGTTTTGTTAATTGGTTATCATTTAAATTGATTTCAAGTTTTATTGGGACAAGAATATCACGATATTACCGAGAGATGTTTAAGAGATTCTGGTAAAACCAATTTTTTAAATCAACTTTAATTTTTTGAATTGATTCCAAAATATTCTCAATTGACAACTGTGATCTCTTCTGTGATATAGGCTAAGTTTTACATGTATGTTACATAAGGTCTACTGTGATAATGTTCATGACTGTTACATTTTTTAGTTTATAGTTTTCTTTGACAACGTCTATTGCACAACTGTGTCTAATGACAATAAAGGATTCTTATTCTTATTCTTAAAGTAAACAATAGTGAGAATTGACTTTCACAACAGATCATAATGTACTTTACATGGTTTTTAAAGATATTCGAAGTTCGTGCTTTTTTAACATCTCCAGACAGAAGCACACAACTAATTATGACGTTTAAGGTTTTGTTAATATTACGAGCATCTATCAAAGACATTCAAAGCCTAAAACTTTTAAGGCCAATAAATTAAGAACCTGTCACAAAAGTTGTTTAACTATCGTAAAAAATAAAATGAAGAATGAAAACTCATTGTTGTTTAAGGAAAAGGTTGTTGAAGATCAATTAGTTTCAAGATAACACTTTTTTTTATTCGTGTAGTAATTAAGAAAAAACAAAAAAAAACTAAAAGGTTATGTAGCAGAGTGTTTAAAGAGTATCACCTAATATTAAAGTTGCTTTGATTAAACTGACATATAATATCAAAGTGTTTTTTTTTTCTTTTAATTTGGATTCAAAAATATACTGGCCACCGTACTGTGTAAAACTGACAAAAACTCACAACATAAGTAGGCTCAGAGTCGTCGCTGGGGAAGATTCTGTTAACTACATCCTTCAAGATGGCTGCTCCGTTAGGGGCGGAGTTTACGTAACACTGTATACTATACAGCCACCACCACACAGCGTCTCGGCAGTTGTAACGAGGATTTGCGCCTCCGTCCAGCAGATTGGGGATCAATCCGTGACGTAAACATCCGCCATACGACAGTATAATAAACCTGGTAAAGGATTTATGTGGATAAGTTTCTTGCCACTGTTTACATTTTCCAAATCCTATTTGTTCATAGTAAAAATAGCATGAAGAGTCAAAAGTCAGTTCCATCAAACGTCACCAACATCAACCACACATTAAAACACAGATTTACAAAAGAATCAGAAGTTTACTTGCACTATTCTAAGCCAAAACTAACTGTGAAATGCATGGAATATTCATTGACCCTCTATCTGTTTTACTGTATGTTGTCGTTGACTTTAGGATAATAAATTGGACACTTCACTAATTTAGCTGTAGATTTATTTTTGTGTAATAATGTTGTGCTGGCTTGTAGCTGATTTTTCATTCGAATAAAAAATAGTGAATGAGCCAATTACTGAGTGTGCTAATGTCAAAACTAAATTTTTGCCTTAGATTTTGATGTTAAACAGACATAAAAAGATGCTTTGGTTTACTTATAAGTTTGACTCAGTTAATAGTTGGCTTAATCAACAGAAATGATTACTTGGCATATCAGTGTATTTTGGTGGTGGCTTAGTTTAACTACAACAATTTTTATTTTGAAATTGGTCACAATTGGGGGTGTCTACTACCATCCATAGTCAAAGATATTATTTTGTATTATTTACTCATTGTTCTATCTTACTAACTAACCTAGCTTCGTCGTATCTGCCAGTGAGTAGGAACAGTCCTGGCAAAGCAATGAAAGTATCTCGGCCCCAGTTGCGCATGTAGCCAGATGAAAAATGTGGCAGACCTAAACAAAAAATAATATCAATTAGAGGCAAATGTTTGTTTGCAATTTGTTGGCCTACGTTGGACCACTTCAGTAATTTTAATGGGAAGAGCTTTTTTCAGTTTTTGAGAGACCAATATGCTTTGACAGAGAAATGTTATCATTCAAATGACCAGAATATTTTTCCACTTTTATATTAGGAAGTTAAAATAGTTTTAAAATGCCAGAGGGCTTATGTTTTACTTTGGGAATTGAGGGGACATGATTATCTTTTTAACAAATTTTAACTGTGTGGTAAAAACTGAAGGAATTGTTGTTTTTGAGTCAGAAACAAATAGGAGGAGAGGAGATTTAGATATAAAGATAATAATAAACAAAATAGTGTGCTTATATATAAGACACTGGAATATTATTAGAGGGATTATTGTCGACATTAACCATCATGTAGTCACAGACTTGCCACCACTAAGAATGAACTTTAAGAAAACAAAAGTCACTTAAATGTTATTCTCAAAGGTGAATCTTTTACTTTTAATACTTATAAAAAAAATAGTTTAAATACGGATATAACACATGTGACAAAAATAACAAATTATTTTATCACACATCAGGGTGTCTACCAACCGGGAAATCCGGGAAAACCGGGAATTGTACTTAAATTTTTACTGGCCATGAAATGTACGGGAATTGTCCTTAAATGCCAGACTATGTCCTTAAATTTTTAATGGGCCATAATTTTATTGATCGCTAGTTGGTTAGGAGCACATAAAAGGTTTATCAGATGTTTGTTTACATTTTAATAATTTATTACTAGAGTAATTATGCAATAAAAATCCCATTAGCAATCTCAAACCCATTAATATTTTATCACGAAAATCAAGTGTCAAGTCAAGTACTTCCAAGAACTGTTGACTCAGCAGCTAGCTCATAAAAGTTGTATTACTTTTATTCCTTTACAACTTATTTTTTTATTACTAGAGGGTAATTATTATTAGATCCCAAACCTATTTTATCGTGAAAATAATAGCTTTATAATGGCTGTTAAATTTCACTTCTTACTTGTACTTTCGGCTTGAAGATTCAATTTGCCGCGGCCAGTGCCTAGTGCCATAAAACTGTTTATGGTTTCATATTAAACATGTAAATAATCTACAGTCTTATTTTGTAAGTTAACCCCTTTTTTATGGACATTTTATCTTACAATTGACAAAACCACAAGCATTGTTGTTTGCAATGTTTTATCACTCTGTAGGTCTGCTTGGTTTCAAATTATGTCATTGCATTTTCTGTATCTTTGTCTTATATTGTTGGCTATTCAGGTTTCAATGTTTTTTGTGTCCCATATATTTATTTATTGAGTTGTATGCTTTAAGCAATCTAAATCTTATGAACTAGAATGATGATAGTGACTTTGCTGCTTTTATAACCTCATTGTTTGTTACCAAGTTTATATAGGCCCTCCTAAATAATTAGGTCTAGGCCTGGGTATTTTGATTCTTGAAAGAGCTGTAAAATATATTAAGAAAATGTAATTGAGCCTAAGATAAACAACTAATGATTGCTATGTGTCGATATTAACTTTGCAAATGAAAATACAATAAACTGTGCTTATTGCTTATTGGTAGCTGCTTACCATACCTTGATTTTGTACTAAGAATTGAGTAACAATATGCATTAAAGATTTATTTTTCAAAAGTATTTGAGAACCTAACGTTGTGCCAGGGCGAATCATGCCAAATTAATCGGCCTGGATCGGATAAGCTATGTTATGAAGTTTATCACAGGAGACAATGATTGCGTTTCTCTGTTACACTATAAAAGCTTTACCTAAAGTAACTTATAGGTAGGCCTATGTTTGTTTACTTTCAATAAATTTCTATTTTGAAATTTTTAACTCTTAAGTTATCTATTATTATTTACTTTTCTCTCTGGTACAACTACAGTGAATAACAAGATTAATACAGTTTGACAAATCAGGAAAATTATTCGGTAGGCCTAATGACACCGACAAAGGTTACAGTAAAGTGTCCTTAAATGTACGGGAATTGTCCATGAATTTTTTATCCAGGATGTAGTAGACACCCTGACATTTTACAAACTAAAATTAAACTTACCAGCAGAAAGTGTGACGCAGGCCTGTTTGGTCTCTCCGCTAGACAGAGTACGAGTAGGAGGAGTAGGGGGGGCCAGATTGGTAGACAAGGGTGGTAGGGGAGCATCATCTTGAACCCCTCCACACTGTACACTGCCTAGGGCTAGAACCTTGGTGAACGCTGATCCTTCAGAGACAAACCTGGACAACAACATAACATGTACCATCTGTTTGGTCTCTCCGCTAGACAGAGTACAAGTCGGAGGAGTAGGGGGGGCCAGATTGGTAGACAAGGGTGGTAGGGGAGCATCATCTTGAACCCCTCCACACTGTACACTTCCCAGGGCTAGAACCTTGGTGAACGCTGATCCTTCAGAGACAAACCTTGACAACAACATAACATGTACCATCTGTTTGGTCTCTCCGCTAGACAGAGTACAAGTCGGAGGAGTAGGGGGGGCCAGATTGGTAGACAAGGGTGGTAGGGGAGCATCATCTTGAACCCCTCCACACTGTACACTTCCCAGGGCTAGAACCTTGGTGAACGCTGATCCTTCAGAGACAAACCTGGACAACAACATAACATGTACCATCTGTTTGGTCTCTCCGCTAGACAGAGTACAAGTCGGAGGAGTAGGGGGAGCCAGATTGGTAGACAAGGGTGGTAGGGGAGCATCATCTTGAACCCCTCCACACTGTACACTGCCTAGGGCTAGAACCTTGGTGAACGCTGATCCTTCAGAGACAAACCTGGACAACAACATAACATGTACCATCTGTTTGGTCTCTCCGCTAGACAGAGTACAAGTCGGAGGAGTAGGGGGGGCCAGATTGGTAGACAAGGGTGGTAGGGGAGCATCATCTTGAACCCCTCCACACTGTACACTTCCCAGGGCTAGAACCTTGGTGAACGCTGATCCTTCAGAGACAAACCTGGACAACAACATAACATGTACCATCTGTTTGGTCTCTCCGCTAGACAGAGTACAAGTCGGAGGAGTAGGGGGGGCCAGATTGGTAGACAAGGGTGGTAGGGGAGCATCATCTTGAACCCCTCCACACTGTACACTGCCTAGGGCTAGAACCTTGGTGAACGCTGATCCTTCAGAGACAAACCTGGACAACAACATAACATGTACCATCTGTTTGGTCTCTCCGCTAGACAGAGTACAAGTCGGAGGAGTAGGGGGGGCCAGATTGGTAGACAAGGGTGGTAGGGGAGCATCATCTTGAACCCCTCCACACTGTACACTTCCCAGGGCTAGAACCTTGGTGAACGCTGATCCTTCAGAGACAAACCTGGACAACAACATAACATGTACCATCTGTTTGGTCTCTCCGCTAGACAGAGTACAAGTCGGAGGAGTAGGGGGGGCCAGATTGGTAGACAAGGGTGGTAGGGGAGCATCATCTTGAACCCCTCCACACTGTACACTGCCTAGGGCTAGAACCTTGGTGAACGCTGATCCTTCAGAGACAAACCTGGACAACAACATAACATGTACCATCTGTTTGGTCTCTCCGCTAGACAGAGTACAAGTCGGAGGAGTAGGGGGGGCCAGATTGGTAGACAAGGGTGGTAGGGGAGCATCATCTTGAACCCCTCCACACTGTACACTTCCCAGGGCTAGAACCTTGGTGAACGCTGATCCTTCAGAGACAAACCTGGACAACAACATAACATGTACCATCTGTTTGGTCTCTCCGCTAGACAGAGTACGAGTCGGAGGAGTAGGGGGGGCCAGATTGGTAGACAAGGGTGGTAGGGGAGCATCATCTTGAACCCCTCCACACTGTACACTGCCTAGGGCTAGAACCTTGGTGAACGCTGATCCTTCAGAGACAAACCTGGACAACAACATAACATGTACCATCTGTTTGGTCTCTCCGCTAGACAGAGTACAAGTCGGAGGAGTAGGGGGGGCCAGATTGGTAGACAAGGGTGGTAGGGGAGCATCATCTTGAACCCCTCCACACTGTACACTGCCTAGGGCTAGAACCTTGGTGAACGCTGATCCTTCAGAGACAAACCTGGACAACAACATAACATGTACCATCTGTTTGGTCTCTCCGCTAGACAGAGTACAAGTCGGAGGAGTAGGGGGGGCCAGATTGGTAGACAAGGGTGGTAGGGGAGCATCATCTTGAACCCCTCCACACTGTACACTTCCCAGGGCTAGAACCTTGGTGAACGCTGATCCTTCAGAGACAAACCTGGACAACAACATAACATGTACCATCTGTTTGGTCTCTCCGCTAGACAGAGTGTGGGGAATTTATGTTAATTAGAAAGCAATGTGGACTGTATTATAGTAATTTTGAATTGGATACACTAACCTTTTGTTATTAAACTGATGCGTAGACTGGGGGCCCCCTTTGATGAATCCTGAAATGCTATAATGTTGATAAGTTCACTTTTTCACACTATATGATGTTAAAAAACACTTCAATTGTCTTTATAATAAGTTATAAGCCAGCGGTAAATATTTATGTTGGTAAAGAGGTTTATGGTATTTGAAAATGTAGGAGAAAAGGCATGTTAAGTCCTCATAGCAACAGGACTTGCCCAAGAGTGTGCCACTACTCTACTGAAGGAAGGAGTTGGTCATGTGATACATATCAGTGACCAATGAGAGAGCTAGTCTTGAAACCATTGGGGTTTGAAGATACTGATGCACTCTATGAGGAAAACATTTAACTATTTGAAATGGTATTTAAATGGAGATTGTGGTGAAATCAGTTACATATTATTAGAGTGCATTAAAATTAAAAATTAATATAAGAATACTTAGAACAAAACAGTATATATATTTGACATACCGGCCCCCTTGAACCGATCCGGTTCAACAGAAAAACAAGAACCATGCATGATTGAAATATGAGGAATAAAAATAAGGAAGGGGGTTGGTAGCCAGAGTTATGTTAGGTTAGTTTATAGGAAGGCGGGAAACCTTAACTGCAGGTCGTGTTAAGGTTTTTGTAGACGTCTTGATTTGAACGACTCTTACAGTGCCATCTTGACCAGGAGAGGCTGAGATGATTCGTCCAAGCAAGAGGTGGAGTATTGTCTTCATGAATGATTACTAAGTCTCCGATCTTGAGGTTTTCTTCTGGAGTAATCCACTTAGATCGTTCTTGGAGGGTCTGCAGATACTCTCTATGCCATCTGTTCCATATGTGTTGAGCAAATGCGTGCACAAGTTTCCACCGTTTCAGGCGATTTACAGAGATATCCGTGAGATAAGGATCTATTAGAGACGTCAGAGGTCCTCCTGTCAGGAAGTGTCCTGGAGTTAATGCTTCAAGGTCAGATGGGTCTGCAGAGAGTGGTGTAATAGGCCTTGAATTTAACATTGACTCAACACGAGCAATCAGTGTTAGAAACTCTTCATAGGTAAGGATTTGTGTACCTATGACTCTCTTCAAGTGGTATTTGGCACTTTTTATTGCCCGCTCCCACAAGCCTCCTTGGTGTGGAGCTCGAGGTGGTATGAAATGGAAAGTTATTTTGTTGTTCTGGGCAAACCGTTGTGTTTCAGGTTTTATCATTAGGTCTTGGAAGCATTTTTTAAGCGTTGATGCTGTTCCAATGAAATTGGTGGCACAATCTGAATATAAATCTGATATAGTGCCTCGTCTGGCAGTAAACCTAGTTAAGGAAGCAATGAATGCATCTGCTGAAAGATCTGTGACCATCTCCAAATGTACAGCCTTTGTGGCAAAGCATATAAATAAACAGAGATAGACTTTAATTGGCTGCAGTCGACGTAAGATGTGAACTTTTACTGTAAAAGGTCCAGCATAATCCATAGCGGAAACATTGAAACAACGAGTAGCCGTAACACGTCCAGCAGGTAAGTCGCCCATTAAAGGTGCTGTCATTTTAGGCTTAGCTTTGAAACATCGAATACATTTAAATATTCTGGAGCGTATAACACTTCTCTGAGACAATATCCAGTAGTTTTGCATTAACATTGCTTGAAGGAGTTGTGGTCCTGCATGTAGATATATTTTATGAAAGAAATCAATCAGCAGGTGGACTACAAAATGGTTCTTGGGAAGCAAAATGGGATGTTTTGCACTGTATTTAAGTGGTGAATTTTTCAGTCTTCCACCAACTCGTATGATTCCTTCTTCATCTAAGAAAGGTGCAAGCCGTTGTATTTGGGTAGAACATGTTTTCTTAGCTTGAAGCGATTTGATCTCATTTGCAAAGCATTCCTTTTGCACACACCAACATATGCGATTTGTTGCACTTTCAAATTCCTGTTTGGTTAAATGAGTGGTTATTTTTGCCTTTAGCTTTAGACATTTAATAAAACGAAGAACATAAGCCATAACGTTTACAAGTTTAGACCATGAGGAATATTTACTTAAAAAATGTAGTTTAGAGTCATCGGTTGATGTTATGAGGTTGAATGTCTCTGATTTCAGTTCATTAAGAGATTCTTCAGGATCTGGGGAAAGTTTAGTTTGTGGCCATGTAATTGAGTCCCATTTAAGCCACTTAGGTCCTGACCACCAGAGCTCATGATTCATTAAAGCGGATGGTGTTAGGCCACGAGAGGCGCAATCAGCAGGGTTCTCTGCTGAGGAAACGTGTCTCCATATGCATGAAGGAGTAAGCTGTTGTATCTGAGCTACTCTATTTGCTACAAATAGTTTTAGCTTGTAAGATGGGGTGTGGATCCATGACAGAGCAATCATAGAATCTGACCACGCATTGATAGCTGTAATATGGTACTGTTTATCAAACTTATTGATGCAATAGTGAAGCAACTTGGCAAGTAAATGAGCGCCGCATAGTTCAAGCCTAGGTATTGTAGTGCGTTTAAGCGGAGCTACCTTTGATTTTGCAATCAACAAATGAGTTGAAACATTGTGATCAGAATCTTCTAACCTTAAAAAGACACATGAAGCATAGCCTGATTCACTAGCGTCTGAAAAGCCGTGTAATTGTATATTACTGGCGTTTACCATGGGAAGGTAGCGAGGTATTTTTAGATTGTCAATTTCTGAGAGCTCACTGATAAATTGAGACCATTTCTCAGAAAGTGTCTCAGGAAGCTGAGTATCCCATTCTAACCCTAAACACCAAATGTGCTGCATTAATGCCTTTGCCCAAAAAACCAGCGGACAAATTAGCCCCATGGGGTCATAAATCTGAGCAATAAAAGAAAGAAGTGCTCTCTTTGTATGTA